ACTAATCCAAAGATATCGAGATTTTTTATCTAGGAAGGTGATATAATACCTATATTTATTATAGGTAGGTAGTAATAGACTACCTAAATCACTATATATCCTATCTAAAATATCAAATTTAGTAGGATTATTTGACTTCCTATATATATATCTATTATCTTTAGATAAAAGATATACTTTACATTTTTTATTAAGGAAAGCCTTAATATATTCTAGGGTTATATTAATCCCTAGGGCCTTTAATAGAATTTTTAAGGGCTGTATATTAATATACCCTAGTCTAATATACCACTTTTGTATATTATCCACTATATTACTATCTATAGTCCTTTTAGGAATATAGCTATTATTATTATTACTATTAGTAGGTATACTAGGTTGATCAGTCCTAGTAGCTACTATAGTATTTATAGTTCTTTGTAATACAGTGGTTTTTATATAATATAGATTATCTCTCTTATTAGCTATAGCAACTATTTTCTTTAAAGGTGTATATAAGTATACCTTATTTTTTATAAATAGGGCTATTAAATCAGATAACTGGTGTATACTAATAAGATTAATACCTAGATTAGGTATATAGAAAACATTTCTTAATAAGTATATATATCTAGTATTAGATTTTATATATATATCACCCTTATAGGTTGCTTTAATAGTATTAGCTTTACCCCACTTAACTATAGTAGTGGTAGGCTTAGCAGAAGAAAGATATTGCAATTTATATACAGTACTAATAGTGGCAGCACTATTAAGAATAAAATCCACTTTTTCTTTTATAGGATTTAATCCTATATTATCTAGTGGTTTTTCAGTCAATAGTTTAGTACTATATGATAATAGAGGACATACCTCTTCTATATTATCATCTATATCTAGTAGTTAATTATCAGTTTCATTATTAGGCTGATTTTTAACACTAGTATATAGCTCTTTATCTGATTTAGGTAAATCAGATATATCAGATAGTATATCTATATCTTTAGTAGATTTAGGGGTATCTACTATATTAGATATAATCTAATCTTGTGATTCTAGCTGTTTAGGAGTCCTAGAGCCCATTGAATTTTTAGCCCTAAAGGATTCCTTAGTAGCAGAAATAGGGGGTTTAATAGTCTTTTTAGCCCTTTTACCTTTCGGAATCCAGCCCTTAGGAGCTAGATTAGGAAATAATAGCCAGTAGGTATTAGTATTATAACTAATAACCTTACAGTGTTGGCAGTATTTTCCTTTAAAAGGCTTATTTTTATACGATTTATAATGCTTATATTTAAGTATCATAATATTCGTATAATAACTACCTTTATATATAGAAGATTCCCTACCCCTAGCTTCATCAATTAAGCTAGAAAATAAGGTTTCCACTATATATGATTTAGGGTTATTTCTCAATGATTAGGTTATATTTTGAATAAACCCTTTATAGTCATCATTTAGACTATTAAGAACCCAGGCTATCACTACCTGATTAGGTAGATCAATACCTTTACCCTTAAGGTTATCTACTAAGGTTTTAACCTTATTAAGATATTCTTCTATTGAATTAAAATCGTTTAATCTAGTGTTAAAGAAATCTTTTAGGGTTAAATATTCAGTAGTAAAACCCTTAGGGTTATATAGGGCTTCTAAGCGAAGCCAGGCCTTATTAGCACTCTCTATATCTTTTAGATATAGGAGGGGCCCATCATCACAATAAAGCTTTAAAACAGATATAGCCTTATTGTTTTTAACACCAATAGGAGTTTCTATAGGTGTATATAGGTCATCTTTTATCAGGGCTGCTTTCACCCTAATAGACTATATAATATAGTTCTCCGAGCCCCTAAGCTTAGGGAGATATATCTTATCTAGGGAGGCTATAGTAAGATATATAATAAATATCGGAGATCAGGTATATATATATATATAGTATACTATATATAATAGTATACTTATATATATATAGCTCACTATATATAGTAATATATACTATATATAATTGTGAGAATATATCACTATATACTTAATAGTATATAGTATATTACTATATTGAGTAATATAGTATAGTACTATATTTAGTAATATAGTATAGTACTATATTTGGTAATATACTAAATATAGTAATTCGGAAATTATTCGGAGAAGGCTCGGCGATATATCGGTATTTCCTATTTAGGAAATATATAGCAAGCCGGGCTCATAACCTGTGAGCACTTTAGCAGAAATAATATTATAGCCTAATAGTAGGTTATAATATTTTGTAGGGGAAGGTGTATTAGGTAAGCTTTATCTTATATAATATTGTATTATATAAGATATAGAAAGGTTTATACTTAGCTTAAGTAGATAATAATAGGTGCGAGGTAAGAAAAGTTGTATTGAATAATTGTTTTCTAGCTAGGAATCCTCCATTCCTTATATAGGCAAGCTCTAGCAGTATAGAATATCATAGAAGGTCATTAATAATATAATGACTTCATTATGATATCCTAGATTTATGGCGATATATTGTGAGTCATAATATAGTTTACCGTAGATAATATATCTAAGGTTCTCTTAGATACTACCGGTAAAATATATATCTTATACTCTCACACCATAGTATATATCTTACAATTACTATTATGCTTACAAAGACTATTAGGTACGTGATAAAATATATAAAAGTTATTGTTAGGCACTTTTTACTAGTAGCTCCTAGCCTACTAGTAAATACTTCACTCTTTCTAGTAGACTTAACCTAACAACCTAATAGCTTTTAGGGCTGTAATTTATTTTATTAACCCTATATTAGTCGCGACTAGTAGCTCCGACCTCCTACTAGTAGCAACCAGCCTACTGGGAGCTACTAGTATGAAAAACCCACCTGACAACCTGACAACCTGACAACCTGACGACCCCCCTATTCGCCCCGAGGTGCCCTGACCAGCGATGTACAACATAGCAAGTCCTCTTTTTGCTTGCCTTTACTTTTTTCTACACCTCTGAGATAGAACAATAATGACTCTCCCAATAATTGAAAAATATTAACCTTAGCCGGTGCTATGGCCCGCGATGTAGTATTCTTCACTCATCTTTATGCTTGAATTAAGTTCCCCCCCACACCTGAGGTAGAATAACAATGCCTGTCCGAATAATTGGAGTGGACTCACCTGCGCCTGTCCCCTGGGGAGCCATTCCACTCAATGTTTATCTTCCCTCCGAATGGGAAACCCCAAATCCCGTATAGCCTGGGGTTTGAACCCGGGCTCTACACTCCGTAGGTCTACGTTTTGTTGTAAGTATCCTCGGCAATACCAATGTATTTCACAAGAATTCGGGTGTGCCCTGGTTTAATACATGTAGACTGTCGCTTAGTGCACTTGATCCTCATGACTCGGGTGTAATTGCGGAATCCAAGTCACCTTCCCGGCTCACCAATGACCCAAGTGTCACTCACATAGCGGTTCTTTTTCTTTTTCCCTCCTTCTTTTGGGGCACACCTGGGCAGTATTGATCAATGTCATCGCCCAATCAGATCTAGCTTTATCGTAGTTATGATTAATAATGGGCTTTGATTGGGCCTTGCGGGCCCCCATTCATGGGCATTGGGTTAGGCTTTGGGCCCATGATACAGACCCGTTTTTAGGCATTGCGGCGGTATAAACACGAAAATGACTATCATTTCGATATTTATTATACTGCCTATTTAACTCAGTGGCATACCACATATTCATTTGATTTCATGGTCTAATCTTCGCTTATGAGTGTTTTACCTCGTGTAAGCAGAGCTAAAGCGAAATCTTCGGCCCTTTTCTCCTTGGTTTATACGCACTCCCTTCAACCTGCTCAAAACCCTCCGTGCCTTGTAACCACCCTACCCGATCCTTTGTATACTGCTCAATCCTCGGCCTCAACTTAGTCTCATGTAAGTTAAAATCATCCACTGTTCCGATGCGAAGAATACTGCTTCCTGGGTACGCCTCGCCCACGCGATACATAAGCGAACCACAAATTGAACAGAAGAAGTTGGTCATGCTTTGGCCGGAACCGATTGTTCGAGACTGGCTATAGGTTTGAAGCTTCTCGCGGCCGCGTATGTGTCTCAGGTGGGTGTCTGCAATTATAAAATTGGAGGCGAACATGGAGGCGGTGATTTTACGACAGTCTGAACAGTGGCAGAGGAACGTGTCAACTAGACCGGGACCTTGGGTTGGCTGTAGTTTTCTTTTGTTAATATTGGTGTGCGATACTTGATGTTAATATATCATACGCACAAAAGCAAGTTGTATGGCGCCGCAGTAGCATGTAGCTGTCGCTTCGCCGTCTTTCGACCAACCGTCATCTGCGCCGCCAGCGAGGGGTATGTAGGGCTTGGATTTATCGGTAGGTATTTTCTTGGACATTTTTAGTACTGGCGAGGCCATGGTATGAACAGAATTACTGGGATAATCGTAGTGGTGAAGGAGAGAAAAAGTGATTACCAATCTAATGCTGACGCGGCCAGATCTAATTTACCACAGGAATTTCGGTTGAACTTGGAAGCCTCGGTTACAGAAAACCTATCTTCATCCAAATTACCGACCCTACAGATTCTAGATACTCCGAAGTATGTATATAGAAAAAGGTTTGGACAATTATAGTCAGATGAGGCATTTGGTCTTCGTTGCTAGACACGTCCATGGTACCAGATAAGTGAAGCTACATTGACATTATGCTGCTTGTTTGCTATTTTAGAGACAATAATTACAAATCGGCAAGTTACAAGGGGCCAAGCCAACAAGGTATGTCCTCGTCAGGAGCAGAATTGACCATGGTGAGATATAGACAGTATTAAAACGGCAAAGATCAAGATTGTAGGCGTGAATGATTTTGTCTCCTCTGTTCCCACCTATGCCAGCCAGTCAGAAAGTTCCAGAAAGTTGGTATGGATTTCTCCTACTTGCTTCTTTCTACAAGAACTGTAATATAGTGAAGAGTTTGCAGCGATTGTCCCGCAACAAAAGTTTGAGGAATCCCCCAGCCCAAACACACGACACTGTCTACAGGTTTCCCTGACCAGCACTTCCAGCCGGATCAGTGCTAGCATCAGAGGCAGTGGCGAGAGTCTCGCCCTTCAAGTTCTCTAGAACAGTTGCGGCAGAGCCGGACAGCGTGCCCCCGTTGACGTTGGGGACACAAGAGCGACCGATATAGGACTCACAAGTGCTGGAGGCGCTGTCAGAAGCAAAGAGAGAACCCTCGAAGGAGGATTCCTCGAGAACAGTGTCGACGTTGGAGAAGTAGTTACCCTCCGCGAGAACGTAGCCACCCGAGCCAATCTCGAAGGCGTGGCCGGAGTTGTCATCCCAGTAGTTGTTGACAGCATGGAGGTAGGTGTTGTCTTGGACCTTGGGTGCGCGACCGCTGGTCTTGTAAAGGTAATTGCCTTTGAAGGTAACCTTGTCACTAGAGCCATCAAGGTACACGTTCCAGTAGTGGTGACCGTCGCAGGTGGCAGACCAATCGGATTCACCATCAATGTAGTTGTTGGTGATAGAGACGCGGTTGTCAGCTTCGGTACCCAGAACGTAGTGCTGACGACCAATTCTAGCAGTCTGAATGGTAAGTCAGCCTATGTGAAGCGGCAGGAAGAATTGTGGGAGCAACTTACGGTAATGTGGTCGAGCCAGACTAGATCAGCTTGATTGAGAGTGATGGCGTCACCACCCCAGACATACTGGGCATTGATGTCTGTGACGGCAATGTTTCTATAGCAAATCAGTCAGCGGGAGTTGTAATGAAGCTTTCGCGCTCAAAGCCGAGGTAGGGATTTTATACGTACTGAACGATGATGTTCTTGGCACCGTTGACCATGCGCAGACCACGACCCTTGATAACACCGCTGGTGCCCTCACCAATCAAGGACTTGTTAGAGCCAACGGTGATACCGAGCATACCAGCGTTGTTGCTGGGAGATGGATTAGCATCGGGGAGATGTCTATGATGCTCCAGGTGATGAAGTTCTCACTAGGTGACGGTAGTAGTAGCAGCATCAGGCTCGTAGTTGGTGCACCAGTCGTCCTTGTTGATGGCGACTTGGCAGTTGGAAGCAGTACCCCAAGGAGTACAACCGGAGGTTGTGGTGGTGCCCTCGGTATCGGTGAAGTCAAAACTAGCATTCCGCTGTCAGTCATCGTCCACCCACAGCAACCTTGGGATCTCAACTCACGTCTTGCTTAAGACGATAACACGGGCCTCGTCGTCCCCGAGGTATGAGACCAGCTCATCGGTAGAGGTAGGATAGACAGGGGTGGCATCGCCGCCACCTGTGGCAGAAGATGCGAAACCTTCAGGGGTGCCCGAGACACCGACAGCGGCGACCTTAGAGGCAACAGCGGCAATAGCCGTGAGAACAAGTGCGTACTTCATGATAAAAGTTGATGTTGTTAGTATATAAAGAGTGACTGTGAACGAAAGTAAACGAGAGTGCAAAGAAAACTATAGGCGCAAAGGAAGCAATGCGTCAAGATAAAATTAGGAACCAAAAGATATGTAACTGCGAGTTCAGGCTATAAGGTATTGCTTGACACTCCTCCCTTCTATAACATACTTTAACAGTGAAATGAGAGTGGATGTGTGGTTTCGAAAGCCCGAGAGGGCCCGGTGGAGATATGCCGATCAGTCCACTATTCCAGAGCTGCTTTAGGAAGGCGATCGTCTATGTCCGAAACACTCTTGACGGCGAAACCCAGGAGAAATACTGGACTGGTGGATTAAATCCATAGTGTTTCATCCAAATTGGGGACGGCCATGTTTGTTTTCATATAATAACTTTAAGTCATTGAACTCATTTAACTTCCCCTTAAAGTCTTGTTGGCTATTCTACAATGCTACAAAGGGGTTGTATGAAGCAGACAACATGACGCTTCTACAGTATATGCTGTCGTGGCTTTCCTAGCGAGAGCAATATGCAGAGGAATGAGAACAGCCTCCTTTGGCTGGACACCAAGTTCAAATTTAATTAGAGCAAAAGAGCGAACTGTTATAGTATGTTTGCATACTCAAGTTGACCTGCCCAACCTAAACTGATATCACGCTCAGAACCAGCTATCCATTCTAGGTTCTAGTCAAAAAGTCCTACTGATCTTCCCTTCAAGCCTATGACAACCTAGAAATTGTAGAAGCAGGTAATTAGTGGCATATTATTGGAAAATGAGAGCTCTCCAGACCTCTGTTACTGTCCCTTTTGTATTGAATCCTCTTTCGGTATGTGTTGTAGGAGACAGTAACTTGAAGGCTGTATTATCCAATGATTTAAGGATAATTCAGTAAAGCCAACGGATGATAGACATCACTATTCATGACTCATTGTGAAAAATAAACAAAGTTAGGTACTTCATTTCTGAGCAAGTCATCCCTGAGTCGATTTGCTTTCTCCCTGATGTTACAAGTTTTCCTTAGCTGCTCATCTGTAAAGCCTCTTCTCCTAACGTGAAGAGCCAATCGTCTGCCCAATTGATCCGTTCATGATGCTCAGGTAAGCTTTGATTCTAACGACCTTGACAAATTCCGAGCCACCAAAAAGGCCATATCAGACTTTCTTCCAAGATATTGAAGCGCGCGGATTAAAAAATCACAATTTTGCCGCAAACACTCACTATAAACATTGCAGTCCACAGGAATATTCAAACTTTCAAGCAGGATGTATCCCGCTTTAGCGAAACAATGCACCAGTACAGCCGTCCAAGGTTCAACTAGGAAGGCGACTTCACTAAGTGAATCATGAAACTGGCGCTCCATGAACGACTCCTGTCCTTGAATCGAAGCTCGGGCAAGCCCAGCAACCGCTAATGCATTATTTGTTCGAACCGTGGCGACCAATTGTGTAGCTTGTCGAGCCTCGCGTGCAGCATCGGAGCCAAGCCGGCTTTTGTCAATGCTCTCAAGGACGTCTGCCAAAAGCATCGCAGCGAGGTGCCAGTGACCGTCGAGGATTACATACCACGATTGTATGCGAGAGGGAAGCAGTTCATGATGATTGACGCAATCGAGCATGAAACTCTGGTACGTGGAATCCCAGTGTTGGCAGACTAGGAGGGCTCTCTGAATACCATTTTCGATTTCTCCGGGGCTTGCACCGCGGTAAACCAGAGTTTGAAGCTGAGTCACCCGGCGATAGAGGAGCACTTTGACAGGAGTTGCCTCCGAGAGTACGGATGCAGCCTCTTCGTACGAGCATGGCCACCTCGGCTGGAGTTGGCCCGATCCCTGACGTTTCATTGAGGAACGAAGGAATAAGTCTCCCCACACATCTTGCTTCCCACGTATAGGGGCAGATGAAATATTCCACTGATCAAAACCTATCTGGTCTCCAGGCGCAGTCTTTGGCCGCGAGGCCGATGAAATTTGACTATCCTCATCTGACACAACTAAAGGACGCTGGTACATTGCAGCACTCAAAGTATCAAACATAACGCCCAGCCAAAACATGAGATCTATGGTGGTGCGGTGTTCTTGGTTATCCAGGAGTGGATCGAGTTGTTTAGGCTCTAAAGGCTGGTGCATCCCCGGAACATTCTCCGTTGTCTGATCTATCGATCCTCTCTCAAGCTCTCTCACTTTGGGGACGGCCTCTCGTTGCAGTCTTGTAAACTTGTGCCGAAAAGTGAAAATTTGGCGGCTGGCAGTTTCAAGATATATTGGCGCACGATCGTTTTCCAAAAGCTCACCCAAGCTTGCATCCTGTCCTCTGTCCAGAAGACTTTGTGTCAAAGAGAAGATAATGTTTGCAAAAGCGATGCGGAAAGACGGAATGTTGCTCGAATGCTCCAAAGCGTGTCTTGCTTCGTTCCAAACTTTCTCTCGGATAGACCTTTCATCATGGTCGATTCCCGATGGAACTGATGCACTGGTACCCTTTTGTGCATGTTGAGTCCACTGCGATGCGAACGCCATGATCGCTAGATGAAGCGCCCGAGCCGCCTTCAGATCTTCCTCCACACTTAAAGCCCTGCCACGTATTGAAGATGATACGCGATCCAATCGACAGACACGAATACACATTCTGTTTGACCAACTCGGACCCCACGCTTGCATCTCTCGATGAGGAAGCATTTGAGTGATTGAGTCACTGTAAGGACAATTGTGCTCGGTCAACCAGCATGACAGAGCATTTTCCATACTATCGTGGTATATGCGGATCAGGTTGCGTGACATAGTCGCACGAGCGTTTTGTTTAGCAGTGTTTTCGGAAGCAATGCAAAAATTCAATTGTTGTTCTCGATTTGCGCTTCGGTCAGATGCACATTCTGATGGTCGTTTGTGTTGACTCTGTTTCCACACCGGAACCGTTGATTTGAGATGAGAGCTGGATGGGTACTGCTGTTGTGGTAATAAGCTGTACGTGCCACGGACAGCTTGTGGTGTCACGTCAAAAGGTTCAGTCTGGGTGTCAGATTCCACCGAAGACTCCGGAGATGCGTATGGATTGGAGTTGTTGATTTGCAAATTATATGGGATGCTTCCTTCCCAAGGAAATAATTGAAGCTGGCCATCATTTAAATTGTTTACCTGGGATGACTCGAGGAAGTGATTTTCCGTGTTCAAAGAGGATAAGGAAGCGGTGTAATAGGGAGATTCAAAGGAGCCAAGCGATTCGGGCAATTCCTCGACATTCGCAGGTTGCGTTTGGGCAGAGCGTAGTATCTCATCATGAGCTTCCTCGTTAGAGCCTATAGCTGTGCTTGGGTTTGGCTTTATTCGCTTTCGACTTCCTCTCGAGTCCAGGTGTTTTGAAGAGACCCAATTGAATGTGCACTCCTTTTTCCAGCGTGTGCAGTTTGAGCAAGAACTGAACGTATTCTTCTGTCGTTCTTTCTAAGTCTCAAAGTCAGCATCTGTGAATGATACCGAGACATGTTCACAAACAGGTGCGTCGCAGCCTCTTTTGCCCTTACGACAGGGATCACAGCTATGGAGCTGACGTCGGCGGGAGTCCATGTCAAAGTAGATGGAGTTGCATGCCAGAACGAAGGCAGAGAAGATATTTGGGGGGAACACGTGAAGCGGAGTAAGTTTTGAGTGGGGTAAAGTGGAAAAGCTAATTTGGTCACGGGTTATCATCCTTCCAAGGTTGGGGATGAGTTTATATGTTCTATACAATCTATACTCTAGATTCGACTATACTGGATGATATGATCAAAGGAGAGACATGGGAGATCCACAGTATGCCTCCAACTTAGGATCTATCTAGGACTGTGTGCCTGATCATCTTGATGTTACACGACAGCTTAGAACGTGGCGTATGCCTGGGCGCGCTGAATCCCGAAAAAGGAGCGGAGCTTGGTCTAACCAATCGTCTAAACCACCCCCGTAGTACCCGTATATGGTCACCGGCATGCCTGCAGCTACGTCGCAGTCTATGCAATATCATCGTACTTTGGAGATTGATCTACAAGATGATCGACAAATCGGATGCGCTAGGGAACGGAGGGGGATATTTTGTCTTCAAATTGAGGGGCCGATTCAGTGCATGTCTTGATCGAACGGAAAACATCTACAGTTGGTTGGTGATAAATTGAGAAGAATAGCCAACCACTACGCAAACTTATCCAGGAATTGAAATTCCCGCATTTGGCGCAGTCAAATGGTGGGATTGATATTTCAGGGTATGTACAAAATGCATAAAACAAGTGAAATCCTTCCGGTCTGAAACTTATGACTGACCAAGGTGCACACGAACTGTCTTGACTTCGGTATAGTTCTCCAGGGCATACGATCCAAGCTCTCGGCCTATTCCCGATTCTTTGAACCCACCGAAGGGCATCTGGTAGTGAAGCGTGTTGTAGTTGTTAACCCACACAGTTCTGTTTCAAAGTATACGTCAGCAAATTCATCCCCCCTGGAGACCCACTTTGGTTCTTGAATTGACTCACCCCGCTTTGAGGACATTGGATACTCGAATGGCTGTGTTGATGTTCATGGTATGGACGGCTGCGGCCAAGCCTATGTTTGATCATGTCAGACCGTGGGATTCAAATCGAATATGAAAAGTAGTGTAGTACTTACCGTAGTTTGTGTCATTAGCAGCCCGAATGGCCTCCTCCTCACTATGGACCTTCTGCACTGTGCACACAGGTCCAAAGATTTCGTCCTTCACAATCGTCATCTCCTCGTGCACATCAGCGAAGATCGTCGGTTGGATATAATATCCTTGGCTACCATGCCGATCACCACCTGTAACCACTGTGGCGCCTGCACCCTTGGCGCCCTCAATATAACCCATGATCCGGTCGTATTGGATCTGGGATACCTGTGGTCCCTGGAAAGTCTCGGCATGGAATGGGTCTCCGACCCTATTTTGCTCTGCTCGCTTCTTGAAAAGTTCCAAGAATCTTTCATAGACAGCTTCGTGGACAATAATGCGAGAGCCCGCACAACAGCACTGTCCATGATTGAAGAAGATGCCCAGATTCACCCATTCGACTGCGTCCTCAAGGTTTGCATCGGGAAGAATGATGTTCGGCGACTTGCCACCAAGTTCCAAGGTCACTTTTTTCAAGTTGCTATCGGCCGCTGCTTTCATGATCTGGCGTCCGACCAAAGTCGATCCAGTGAAAGCGACCTTATCAACATCCATATGAGCGGCAATGGCCGCACCCGCAGTTCTTCCAAATCCTGAAATAACATTCACCACTCCAGGGGGAATCCAGCTTCTTTGATAAGCTTAGCCACATAGAGCCCCGAAAGGGGTGTTTGTTCGGCCGTTTTCATAACGACTGTATTTCCCGTGGCCAGAGCAGGGCCAATCTTCCAGGCAAACATCATGAGTGGGAAATTCCACGGAATAATTTGACCACAAACGCCGACCGGTTCGTGGCGCGTATAGGTCAGACTATTAGGATCGGTGTCAATTGTTTGGCCGTAAATTTTGTCGGCCCAGCCACCATAGTACCGCAAGCACCCCGCAGAGGCGGTAACATCACCTCTGGCCATCGTCACTCCTTTACCATTGTCAAGAGCTTCAATAGCGGCCAATGTGTCGATGTCGCGCTCTAGGAAGTCTGCTAGACGAGTAAGGAGACGGCCACGCTCAGACGGAGTGACCTTTTTCCACTCTCCATTCAGTGCAGTGCGGGCAGCCTTTACAGCAATGTCAACATCCTGTGCTGTGCCTTCGTGTACGGCCACAATTGGCTTCTCGTCGTGAGGGTTGATTGTCTCAAAGGTTTTGCCTTCCACACCTTTCACAAATTCATTGTTAATGAACCTAATAAGTACTGTCAGATAACTGGCTGAATGTATGAAGTTCTTTCGTTGTAAGGCCTAACTTACAGTCCTAAAGGCTGCTCGTAAGAGAGCACTGGGGTGTCAATGGTTTGAGAGAGCGCCATGACTAATGAGTAAGAGTCAAAGGATGATATAAATTTCACAATGTGAGTGGTATGTGAGAGTCTGAGGTGTAGTAGGCAGCCTTATATAGATAACGGGAATAACCCTGGTGTGGAGAACCGTCCGGGGGTGAAGAGCGCGGGGAAAGAATCGAGATCGAAAAAGACCGGCCCGATGTTTCTCGCGGTCTGGGGTAGCCACTCCCTTTTCCCGGGTTTCCCTACATTTTTACACTTCCTTTCGTCCGGAAATCAGCACTAGTCTGCAGCTAACAGCGGGAAACGAGCCAATCCCGGTCTCTTGGAAGTTCCCTATGATGTGACTGGATGTAGGGGACTGGTCACAAGGACAGCATGTACTAGCCAAGTTTATCTCATCCATGTCCGCATTTCACTACTCCGTAGATCAGTCTCATCTCAAATATTCTGAGCTAGGCAAGGAAACCGTATTTCGACATTCTATCTGTATCTGGCTAGATGGAAAATGTGGATTTGGCTTTATGCTCCAATACCTACCACCCCCTCCAACTTCGCGGGTTGGTACAAAAGTAAGATGTTGATGTCCACGTATCTCACAGTCCTTGATGCAAGATGTGCGATCTAGTCTATCTTGACCCCAAGCACGGGGTCCGTGATCCGGAGGTTGCCAGTTTGCCGACTAAACTCAATACCAAGCTCATAGTTCGCCGGGTACCAAATGTGGAGACTGAGTGAAATGCGGAGAATGACTTTAAAAACCCAAAATCAACATCAGTGCTATCTTGATTAGCATAAAAAAGAGAGATGCCCAAGAGGTAGTATGTCATTCGTTGAAACTTCGTCAAATTCAGTATCTCAATTCATATATCACATAACTCGAACGCAAATCCCCACCCTATATACAGCAATCCCGGAGTCCATAATCTGTCCCCATAGCATGGTCAACTAATGGCCAACCTTCATTTACTCCGGCAACTCGAGCACATAGCGGCCGGCGATCTTTCCCTGTTCTATTTCAAGTTAGCTTGGAGTCTATATGCAAGTGCGAGGAAGTGTGACAAACCCATAAGCTCGAAGATCTTGGGAAGGTCTGCCAGCGGCGCCAGCTTGAATGGTGCCTTGATCAAGCCTCGGGCAAAGAAGTCGAGGGCCTCAACGCCATCTTGCTGGTTTCCAACGTAGCTTCCCTTGATGGTAATCATACGGACGACAGTATTAATCACTGGAGCCTTGAGGAAGGCATCAGGGGGCAATCCAATGGCAACAATTGTGCCTCGAGATCGAACGTATTCTGAAGCTTGTTGGAAAGGCTTCTCTGAGACAGCCAACAGAATAACGGCATGGGCACCAAGACCATCAGGAGTCGCCGCCTTCACATCAGCAACGAGGTCTGTGGACTTGGTGAAATCGACATAAGTCTGTTTTCATGGCTTGGTTAGCTCTAATATTCCATGGAGGGGAATGTTAGGGTAGAGATCTTTCACAATCATACCTCAGTGCCAAGCTGCTCGCACATCTCTCTCTTCTCGTCACCTCCATCGATAGCGACTACTCTAAGACCCATGGCCTTGGCGTACTGCTGTGCAAGGGATCCAAGGCCACCGCCTGCTCCAACAATAGCAACCGTTTGGCCCGGACGAATACCAGATTCCTTCAAGCCTTTGTAAACAGTGATACCGGCGCAAAGTACTGGAGCGGCGGCATCGAGTGGTACACCCTTTGGGATCTTTGAGGCATGGGTGGCCTTTCCGACGGCGTATTGCTGGAAGGTGCCATCGACAGTGTATCCGGATAGTTGGGCATTGGCGCACAGAGGGGTATCGGATTGTCTGCAGAATTCACATTCGCCGCAGGAGCCATTCAGCCACTTGATTCCAGCATGGTCGCCAATCTCAAAGGTGTTCACGAGATCTCCCTTGGCCACCACCACTCCAGCTCCTTCGTGTCCACCAACTAGTGGCATCTTGACTGGGATGGGCCAGTGACCCATCATCGCGTGATAATCGGTGTGACAAACGCCTGAGTAGCGAATCTTGACCAGAATCTGATCAGGGCCTGGCTTAGGAACGGGGATCTCTTTGAGCACAAGTGGCCCTCCAATCTTCTCGGCCACCTGGGCCCATTGAGTCTCGGGAATGGACATGTTGATAAGAGGTATTGAAAGTGATGAAGAAAATGAATACTGTTTGAGTGGATAATCCTTTGGTGAGCGCGAAATTGGAGCTTTATAGCTAACTGTGCCAGGTGGGGGTTCTCGACCTAAAAAAGGCGAGGTGGGGTTTGTCGCCTCCATTCTCATATTGCATGTTATCTAGACGGATTAGGTCGGGCAACCGGAATCCTTCTACTCCGTAGACCGAGACACAACGGGCAGATTGACTGGGAATGTGTCCTTTAGGAAGTGCCATGCACCTATTCTGGTGCTAGTCTCCTAGCGCTGTGCTAGTGTGTTAGTGTCAGGTAGACTTCCAAGTTCGGGATGTGGCAACGGTTAATGCGGGGAAGGTGGGCAGGGGTTGCGCACAGCCCACTGCCCAGCTGGGCATGCGGAGCCGCACAAACGGCTCATCCGATTTGACGTTTTAACCGAACTACTCTATTCGGTTACGGGACCTATATGGGCCCATATGGTTAGCAGTACTTTGTATGCAGTTAAAAAACAAGTGTAGATGCAGCTTGGTGGAGAAACTACCGAGGGGTCATAATTAGGTGAGCATTGGCGGTTGGCCAGGCATTGCAGAAAAATACTGGAATTGTTGGACTACCCTTATCTATGTACGAGTCTTGTTTTTTTATAAAATAAAATTTAGTAAATTTACATTGAACACTGCAATCTATCTGGACAAACCAACAAGATGGCAAGCTAAAAAATTGTGGTAAGGGCAAATTTCCGCAAATCAAGATATCCAAGGTCCATCGCTTTCTCACTACCACCTCATCTTGTCCATAAGCGCAAGACTGCCAGGATACTGCGCTTTTGCGCTTGTTCTTCACTGATGTGCTCGGCAATGGTGCGGGACTATTCTCTCCCATAAGGAAAGAATGTACTTGACCAACCACTGCTGATAGCAAATCCGGAATATTGTTCGTCTTTTGCATACCTATGTAAATTTCCCGAGCCGGCTCCGATTTCATCCATAGATTGAGATAAGTTCCCTTCTTCACTCTCTTCAGATACACTGGAAGATCTCTCTGACCATGTCAAGTAATCGGCATTTGAGAAGAAAGGGGTAAAATCTTCATTTTCTTTCACAACAGCACTTCCAGGATCTTGACTTCCGAATTTAAAACTTGGGCGCTCGGTATAGAAAAAGTTTGAATCAATGAGCTCGTCAAAAAATTTCTCAAATGGGTCTCGTCTATCTCGGATCGGTCCCTTGTCATTATGTTCTTGTGGGTTGCCCTCATTACTACACCAGGATTAGTATGAGAACGCAATGGCGCTAAAAGAGAACCAAACTGACTCATAACTCATGGTATCTATAATCATTTTCTGTTGAGACTTGGTATGTTGCAGAGAATTATATCCGCGATATAAGCCACCCTTGTGTGTTTTCTTCGTGTTTTCATCGAGGTATTTAGGCGGTTTGCGATGTCCGTCAACACATTGCGATGGCGTCTTGCGGTTCACGCATTGCCCACAAGGGCGTTCATTGCCTACCGCCGTTTGTCAGCTTATAATTCTCGAAATACTTGCTGTGCATCAAAGGAGCACCTAGGCGTACCGCATGTTTTATGGGCTTTTTGACAATATAGGCAAGATCTTCTAGCCTTCTTGCGGGGGCGGGGAATATCAAATTCAGTGTAGGATGTCATGTTCAGACTTGTAATGGATTTGCGTAGTATAATATCTTCGAGGGAGGAGAAAGAATATGCGGTCACCCGTATATCTGGTAAAAGCTGGGCACCAAGTTTTGTTTATACATAGATGACGAGATGGTTATAAAGGTCAGTGAGGCCAGGGGTCCTCACAGACTCTAGTGATATTTAATGAGATATAGCCCCCAAGTTGTTCGAAGACGTTCATCAAATGCCATATTAGATTTCGAAAACCCACCTGAGCGGCTCCGCATGTATGACCTTCCTGATGATGGCTAGCTGCCTTCCCCAGACTGAACTAACTGGACCAAGATAACGCGGGGTAAAATGCGGAGATGAGCCTTAATCTATCCATGGATCTCAGCTGTGCGGCTCCGCATGAGATTTCGGAACCGCATGGCCCGAACCATACCTAGGTAAGGCTCGAGTCTTGGCGAACAGTCTTGGGATCCCCCATGAAGGCAGACTATCAAACTCTTTTTTACCGCTGTGGATCCAATCTCCGAGAGTTTCTGCAGCAAGATAGCGAGTGGGGAGGAAACCAATATCGCAAAACTAACGATAATCATTCTGAAAACCGGGGGCATGCGGGACACCGACATTCTACACTGATCAATATTAGATCAGCCAATAAGTAAATCCTATGACTATCTATTTTTTTTTCATAATTAAGTTTACCTCGCGCTCTAGACTCATCTACCCCTGCTGCAAATCAATACATTTCACCCTAACCATCTGATTGGATGCGGCGAAAAGGAGTATTATTATGATTTTCCTCCTTTCTGCAGTAAAATGAGCAAAGGTCAATCACCCCATCGTTCATCGCAGCCACCGAGTCTGGGGAAGGTTAAAGGTCCCGCATTCCCCGCATATCGAAGACCCATAAAACTCGTTTTCTAGAGCTTACAGTCCCATTCCTGATATCGTGTACACGTCTACTCTGTGTTGCCACAGAGAATTATCTTAGCAAAAGGAACATGGATAGTGACATGAGTCAAAATGGCGAGACAAAGGCAACTTTTCATACCAAGGAGAACACAGTGAATGGTCTCACCACAGTTCCAACCTCGGTCACGCTGTCTTCTGAACAGTTCGAAAGGCTTTATTTGACTCCTATGACTGTTCGCCAATCACCCTTAGCCAAGAAAGTTGGAAACCCAACACCATTGTTAGTCTTCGAATACTATCTTCTAATCTTTTTCTTCTGATCTAACTTGGTGGTTCAACATCTAGAGCACTAGGAGGCTTTGTGATTACCACCACTCCCCTTTCATGCTGCTTGATGGCCTGGAGAGGAGCTAGTGGAAATGGAATTGCGTTCATGTGAGAGACCACAGAAAATAATGGCAGGGTGTCATCTGATGAACTGAACAGTGGACCTATCGTCTTCCTTGGTGGTCTTTTGCTGCTCATCACGAGTATTCTTGAGTTCATCATCGGAAATACCTTTCCCTGTGTTGTCTTTGGCACTATAGGTAACTGTTTCTATCCCCTGAGGAAACCCTTCTTCACGTTGCTGATACTTATCAAGGCGGCTTTTGGTTTGCATTTGCAGCCACAATGATTCCTGCTTTCAACGCAGCTGGTTAGTTCCCCTAATTATATAATTTACTGATTAATCCAGTGATCAACCTACTTACTTTCAATAGCGCCATACTCATCTTCAGGCACTGATACGGCTGCTGGACTAGCCAGTGCAGGCTTCATGAATACCTATGGTAAGTATAGCTGAACGCTTTCAAATCTGATCAACAGTTCTGACGACACCAGCGTTTTTATTCATAACAATGGCTATTCTGATGCTAATCTTCCTGATTTGTTCAACACGCATCAATGTGGTATTCACGGTGATATTCCTGTTTCTGCTTCTGGTTTTCCTTCTTCTGTCTTCGGCGTATTGGCAACTAGGGCAAGGAAATGCCGCCATTGGCGATCGATGTGTAAAAGTGAGTATTTTTCAAGACCATTTTGCTTCACTGCTATTTTGACTGGCCGTTGACCTCTATTTATCTTTAGGGTGCTGGGGCGTCGCTCTTCGTTGCTAGCTTACTCGGCTTCTATCTGTTGATTGTTCAATTGCTTGAGTCCGTGGGCTTCCCATCCTTTTTACCCGTTGGAGACTTATCAACATTTTGGACTCGCAATCAAGAAAAGTGAGTCTCCTGAAGACACTCACATGGTTTTTTCTGACAGAATATAAAAGAGAGCGACGTGATGTCGAACGCCCAGCTACCGTTCGCTAGGATTGAAGCCTTTACGGTGCAATAATGCTTCTTTCTGGTACAGCCCGGTTGTGTTGAATGTGAACAATTAGTTTGGCTTGCTTGAGCTACGACTCTGATTTGTCTTTCACTTTAATTCAAAGGCGGGCATAACTGAATCACAAAACCCAAAGGGATGGATTCAGGGTCCAGCTCAACCTCATAAATCGAGCAGATTGACTTGCGGAAACGCGTGACCGAAAAAAATAGATATACCATTTGTAAATTGACCGCGTGATTATATAGTATATCCCTGCTTTCCCACACTTTCTCTCCCGCTCTCTATCGCCAGCTTTTTTTTTTTTTTTTTTGGCACTGCATCCTCACCCTTTGTGATGTCAAACTACCCTGCATTTGTGAGACATCGAGTATTGTAAACATATATGATGTTATAGAAGTGTAGTACAAGAGATGAATTGTAAGCTAGCTAAGAGTAGCTGTACTCTAGATTTTGATTCCTAAAGAGGATATGAAGGAGGATCTTAGGAAGGCGCCTGCCTTTTTAGAATCACATTTGACTGAGCGATGTAAATGACAAATAGGTTCATTTTAAGACCCCGTCCTGCGCGGGTTTTTTTTTTCCCTGTCCTAAAATAGGCAGTGACTGGCAGGCAGACCTAGCGTTCCGCAAAGCCCGTAAATAGGGGCCCATGGCTTAACCCGCAGTGGGCTATGGGCTATGATGGGCCCCCATAGATAGCCCACCATAGCCCATTAAGGGGGGGCCAGTCAAGAATGGGTACGCTGGGTGCGTGCCTCCATTAATAGTAGCGTCGTCCAGCATCTGCTCTGACAGCTGAAAGAAAGGCGCACGGGTATAAGGCTTGTATGAGTACTGCGCATATGTGTATGTTGAGCAGCCAGAAGGCGCCATTGTGTTTGCGACAACAGAAAAGATATAGCCCAGGTCATGGCGGGTCTTGACGCTTCTAAACCGTCGACTTATAATCGCTGTATCCTAGTCTCCTACTAATTCTTGTCGGATGCCATAGGCATCCAGGCATATAGATCAAACATGTTTGATATGCCATCATGTTTGGCAGCATAAATAGGATCTCAGTATCCTATTCATACTTGCTTTCTCTTCTTCTTCTCTCTCTCTCAGTCTTGCTTCTAGATAGAGAATATCATCATCATCTTCTCTGTCATCAATTCTTCAGTCTAAAACTGAGTATATAAGCTTAAAATAGATGAATCAATTTGCAAATCAATTTTAAGAAAGGTCTGACACGTACAGGTTTAGATATCGCGAAAAATGCTTAGTGTTGATATTCCACTACTAGGTATATTTTAGATCCGTACAGGAGAACCACTCCTTCTTTAAAGACCTTTATAATTTAGATTATTCCTAACCAATATGTTTTCAATCTGTACCTTGATATCAATACATTATATATTTAGATAATATAATATCATTACAATAAAAGTGCTAATTACGGAGCTCAAACATGGTGTAATTAATTTAAAATGTTTGTATTGCTTGGTGCTAACGGGGCTTAATGTGCCCCCCCCATTATGGGCTTAGTGGGCCCAGACTCGGGCCTGAAGCCCACCCCATTCGTGGGTTGGGGCGGGTTGGTCTTTGGGCATTGTGGGCTTTGCGGAGGTCTACTCCTATGGCCGCACTGATTATAGTGCCGAGTACTTTACTGTGGACCATGGGGTAAAAAGAAGATGTTTTATATCTAAAAAAAGGAAAGATCTATGATCGCATTACAGAAACGGAATACTCCACTTCCTTCCGAATAATCATTCTCGTGCTCCCATCACTTCCACTACGCGTACTACCCACGTCCGCTTCAGGTCTCCCCTCCCCCAATTGCGCTGGCCCCGTAGCCTCACAAAGAACCGTCCCATTCTCGGTTCCATCGCCCATATCCGGTCTATCCTTGAGCAACACACTTGCCCGGCGTGTAGGTCGTCCTTTCAAACGCCCCAGCTCGTAATCTCGCGACCTCCCCGACGCATAGGGGTCTGTATCTCCCTGCCCGCTGGACCCGTACCCATAGCCACCACTGCTGCTGAGATAAGCGTCGCCGGCGGTGCCATAGTAAGTTGTGAGGGCATTCATGAAGGGGCGCAGGCAGAAGGCTGTGCATGCTACAAGGGCGTAGTTCAGATGGAGCTGGGTGAAGATTGTGTGGTTGATTGCCGTGAAAGTCGGGTTGTGGACGTTTGTGTATTCTTTGAGTCTGGAAAGGTGGAGAGCAGAGAAGATAATTAACCTATCGGTTGAATCTGTGAGTTTCAAGTGATTGGGGCTGGAATACATATTTGTGGAGTGGAAGAGGGACGTACGGTAGTCTCGCTGCGAAGGATACCATGATCACGGTTTTATGTGAGATGGACATCTGCAAACCCCAGACTAAAGCGACAGAGAATATGAATAATAAGACTTCAGTCGAGATATCTAGCGCCGCAATTGCTTGCCAGCGGGCGAACTTCTACCGTTAGAATCTCGCATTTCAAGTGGGTATGGTTGGCTCGCAGTTTAGCAGTGGTTTTCTAGAATTTTAAACATACCAGGTTATGGCACTGATCGCCAGGTACAACCCAGGGCCTGTTTCCCTCGCAGTTCACTGAGATAACCAGCACCGACACGATAATACCCACTGTAGTAAGGCCGAACGTCGCCCAAAGGATGATCTTGTGCCGCATGCTAGGCGTCAAACGCATGTATATGGCAATAACGCAACATTTTGAGAGGTAAAGAGTAAGTAAATAGAGAATGTCGGCAGCGAGAAGGGACTATGCTGTCAATTATTCTCTGCTAATCATTTTGGGCGGGGGTCTTGACAATGAATACATTTTGTATGCGATCAACGCCCTCTTGGGTGAGTAGCGATATGTCAGTCCCAAAGCCAATCCTCGCAGCGTGAAATATGACGATTGACTCGACAAGGGCGGCAATCTATCCCGTTAGTATCATTTGGAGAACGCGCCAATTTCTCTCGATTGCGTACCGTCGCCCCGAACAGAACAATATCGTCTGAACCCCACGGTGGACTCAGGAACTTCCGTACGTATGCCCGTATCAGTAGACAGACTAGCGAGATCATCAGACAGATGGCGGCGGTGACAATGATGATACCAGCATGGTGTTTGTCGTCTATCGTCTCAAAGGGAGGTGACTGGCCCGCAGGGACTTTGATCGCCATTGCAGTATGGAGATCAAATCGTGTGCCGGTCAGAAGTTTCAGGGTGGAAGTTGTCTCAGAGAAAAAGCAATTATGATGTATGACAATTCCATGGCTGGCGGGCACACTGTTCGGATAATTCAGGTAGATGGACCTAGCAGGGATGCAGGCTCAAAGTCGAATAGTCTTAGAAGAATTTCTCGGCGCGACTCGAAAAACTTTGATTTTCTATATCAGTAAGTTTTGTAGCGCACTGTTATTTTTGTTGGGCGCCTCTCTATTTGGAGATATGTCCATTGGGACTCGTGAAGGAAATTCAAACATCTTTTTTTTTTTTCCGATTAACGATGGAACTTCATTTTTCGCTCTCAGGAATGAATTCATTCGAGCTATACACTGAAATGAACACAAGATGATCTAAGATGATCCTCCTGGTAGCCGCATAGCCTAAGTGTGTGGCTATATGGGCCGCATGGGGCCGAGACCTTGCAAGAAGCCGCAGACTAACCACTTTGATATCCGCGAAATGAAAAGGAGTTGCGGAACTGTGCAGCCTGGACAAGATCCCAGTTCCACTAATGGATCCTTCTACGTTTGGTTTGTGGTTTATGCTTATTCCTCTTCGATCCGGACTCCTTATCTCTTGTACACTCCGTCTTCCTAACTCGGATATTATGAGGCGGAGTGCACGAGCCCATCAATGCATATGTACGGAGTACTATTGCCCTTGTTTCATAATCCATGCGACATATAGTTACTCTTCCAACCCTTTGGCTTGACTCATTAAATGCCCTTTTTACTCTTAGATCCGGACTCCGTCCCGTGTGGATTCTCAGACCCTTGTTCTACTTTCTACCCCCTGACTCTTTACTCAAATCAAAGTTCCAATAAAAAATTTTCACGCTATGAGCCTTTACCAGTCGGGATCCTATATTGACCGACCACCGTTGTGGCTAGCTCTTGCCAAGCGCTACAAAATGCCTTCAATCGTACGGTTGCAACTGAACACTCTGATATGTTATCTTCCAAGCACATCATTCCTTATAATAATTGGTAATCTATGTATTTTTTCCTTCCTTCATAAAAATGATGTCAGTGGGCAGGGATTACATTTCTCGCTTCACCAGTGCGACAGGTGAAATGTAATGATGCCGTCCCCGGAATACATAATACACCACCGCAATCATCATAATCCCCCCGTACATCACAGCGGACCAGTTCATAGTCTCCGGCTCTACTTTCGAGGTAAGCGGGAAAAAGGCGAACACAAACACCGGACACAGGAAGCACAGCGCTCCTATATTGATAGCCATGCCAAATCGGCCAAGCGTCCATCTGTGCGGTGGGAGAGGTTGACCTCTGATACGCTTGAGGAGCACACATCCAATCGTGATGATGTAGGATGACATCATTGCACCGATGGTCAGAGTCACGATAGCGAGAAGCGCGGTTGTGGAGCCAATGTTGATGAGCGACAAGAGAATTGTAACTGCTAGAGAGACCATTACGGCGTTCAATGGAATGTTCCAGCCGGGATTTACCTGTTGTTTGTCAGTGCTGTCAGATCAGGAGAAAAAGGGGAGAAACGTACATATCCGAAGAACTTGGAGAAAGGAAGGCCTCGATCACGCGCGAAAGACCACAGCTGGCGCGATGCCGTTGCTACTTCTGTGATCGTGCTCGCTGTGAGGGTCAGCACAAGAATGGCGGTCATAGTGTTCGTTCCCGGCAGACTCTCTGTCGCGTTGTAGAACACCTGCATGAACGGGTACCCTGTCGGACTGGCCAGTATCTCGTCAATGTCACCTAGAGTGAAGCACACCGTGACCAACATCAGGAAACCGCACGCGGCATTGACGCAGACAGAGGTAATCATTGCCTTTGGTAGAGTCTCGGAGGCATCTTTGATCTCCTCCGCTACACATCATTAGTCAAGTTTGTGAATCTGAGAGAGGAGACGTACACATATGCACCGCACAATCATATCCAATGAGCGCTGTGATCGTGGTAGAGAATCCAACAAGTGTGGCAGTCCCGGCGCTGTTCCAGTCGCCGCCGTTATTGAATTCGGTAAACACCTGCTTCGCGCTGCGGCGAGGTCCAAGCACCCACAGCGGAATTATGATGGCGAATAAACCGCACACATGCAGAATCAAAATCAACACCTCAATGAAGGGCAGCCGCTTAGCCAGGAAGGTGTTGAATATAATTGAAAACAAGGTGATAGCGATCACCAGTAGGGTGCCGTGCCACGGCTTGCCATTGTAATCCGCATTGTTCAGCACAATCATGCCTTGGATGATAGTTCCAGCCAGATAAGCAATTGACACAATGGCACACTGCCAGCCCAAGGCGCACAGCCAGCCTACATGGTTAGCTTGGCTGAATGGAAAGGGGACCGGAAAACTTACCAGTGATGTAGCTGAGAAATTTCTGGCAGCTAGGAGGGGCAAACTCCGACACCCAATGGTATTGCCCACCAGAGGTGGGAGCCCTGGGGGGGTCAGAATTGATACACGATCTGAATGAGTAAACTCACATGGATGCCATCTCGGCTAGACTCAAGAACACCAGGAGGAACCCAGCAGCGACGATGAGGTATCCCCAGATCAATCCTGCAGTTCCTCCATCGGTCAAGCCTTGCGTCAGTAAACTAGACCATTAGACATTGAATCAAAGAGTAAGTGTGGAGATAGCATACGTTAAAACAACCTCCCACGTGGCGATCAGCGTGCAGCCAAACCCTACGATGGAGATAAATCGGAAGTTACGCTGCAGGGTCAGCTTAGATGCATTGGCCACGACAACTTCAGAGAACGTACTCGCAGAACCTGCTCTCGTCCCAGAGTGCTCATATCGGCCTGATCGGCCTGGGTGCCACGCCATTTGGGGGCGACCTGACCTCTAGACGGAGCTTCCTCGGCCATAGTCATGGTGATTGTTGAAGGATCTTTCTTCCACCGCATATTTACATGTATATGGCACAAGCAACGAAAGTCCAGTATACTAGACGGGGGCAATCGTAGGGAGAAGGTCGCGTTATTACAAAAGAAGGGTGGTGTCAAGCGTTAAAATATTGCCCCTTATGGAATTCACACGGCCCATCCTACGGTGGAGCTACTCGCCTCTAACAAAATCTTCTACCTTGGCAGCCAAGGTAGTACTATGCACGGAGAATTTCGTACTTTGTAGCAGGACTAGAGCATTGTTACAGCATCCTGCAGATTAGTGTGAACTAGGGCTTTCCGTTGTGGCTCCACCGTTATTGCCACGCCGAGAATATCGATCAGCAACAATATACGGACTACTCCGTATCAGCCGCGTTAATAAACCCCTTAATCTTAGAGTCTTGTTGATTGGGCAATTTTGCTGAACGATGCTTTTTCCAGGATCTCGTACTCCGTACTCCGTAATTTGATTGCAAATGTTGGTCATCTTACTGCTGATCTGCCATGTACGAACACATGTTCCATCCACTCATCGGGGGCACGGAGTATATGGATAATATTTTGATTTTTAAAGACTTTTACGGAGTACGGCATACATAGCTTCTTTGTGGATCAATTAATCTAATCATTAATTGGTTCCCTCGATACTAGCTCTCCGCACAGAGATCTTTCTATCCACATGGGAAACACACTTAGGCGGGGGGCAACTCTCCTTGCATGAGAACGGATGATTGGGACGGTTGAGATTGTCTGATTGACATTTTATCCCTAACAACCTTCCTCTCACCCATCATGATTCTCCTCATCCCCCTCGCTATCCTCATCGTCATTTTCTACCTCATATATCACCATGTCATAGACCCTTACTTCCTCTCCCCGCTATCTTCTATCCCCAATGCCAACCTCACATCCCCTCTCTCCAGCTACTGGATTGACCGCAAGCGCAACACAGGCACAGAAGTTCTGGCTATATATGCCTTGCACCAAAAGCACGGCCCCATCGTCCGCCTCGGTCCTAAGGAGCTGAGCATTAATTCCCTGCATGGTCTCAGAGTAATATATACGGGCGCTTTTGAGAAGCACTCCTTCTACAATGATTTCTTTGTCAACTTCCACACTGAAAACCTCGTTGGCATGGTGCACAATGCTCCACACGCGCATCAGAAGCGCATGCTGAGCAAGATCTTCTCCAAGTCGTTTCTCCAGGAATCCAGTGACCTGCGCACCATTTCGAAGGTTGTGATGTGTGAACGGTTTATGCCTATTCTCAAGAAGGCGGGGGAGAGTGGAGAGGTGGTGAATGTGCTGCCACTTTTTCAGGCTCTTGGGATGGACTTTATCTCTTCTTTCCTGTTTGGACTGAGGAATGGGACAACGTATGTGTTGAATATACCCGAGTGGAAGATGTGGCTGGAGGAATATGAGCGGTTCAAGTTTATGAGTCGGGAGAAGCGGTACATGGGATTTATTGAAAGGTGGTGCTTAGGGTTATGCGAGCAGACGGAGAAGTTTAAAGAAGAGGATGTCTTCGTAGATGAGGAGAAGCTGCCATCCACGAGCCCAGTCGTCTACAACCAGCTGCGCCAGAGCCTCCTTACCCAGAAAGAACACGATCCACGTCCGCTCAACCTCGCAATTGCGTCTGAGCTGCTAGACCATTTAGTTGCAGGCCATGAAACGTCAGGCATCACCTTTACTTACATGATGTGGGAGTTGTCGCAGCATCCAGAGCTTCAGGCTGAGCTGCGAAAGGAGCTACTCACATTATCTCCATCCCTCCGATACTCAGACATAGATGGAGAGAAGCCCCTTGCATCTCCTTTCGCGATCGACGCACTTCCTTTGCTGGACGCCGCGGTCCGCGAAACCCTTCGTCTCCACTCCCCAGCCCCAGCCCAACTCCCGCGTGTCACCCCCGCCACAGATAATGGAACTTCCCTGCACGGGTACGACAACATCCCAGCCGGTGTAAAGGTCAGTTCAACCGCCTACTCCCTACACCGCATAAGTGAGGTCTACCCCCGCCCCCTGGAATGGCTGCCACAGAGATGGCTCGAGGCAGGTGACAAGATCCACGATATGAGGCGGCTGTTTTGGCCGTTCGGCAGCGGTGGACGCATGTGCCTGGGAAGTAATTTTGCATTGCAAGGTATGTCTACCAAGTATTCTTCACAGATTTTCAAGAAAAAAAAACCTAATGGTGCAGAAATCAAATTGGCTATGGCGGCTGTGTATTCAAATTACTCGACGTCTATTGTAGACGACGAGGGCATCGAGCAGGATTACGCGTTTATTGCGCTGCCCCGCGGTCGGAAGCTGATGTTGAGGTTTGTCCCGGTCGGTGAATGATGCGACGGAAGTCAAGATCAAGAACAAAACATTTTCATCGTTCTCGAACTCCTGGGGTTGTGGCATAAAATTTTGCCCCTGGATTTCCACATAAATATCAGGTGAAGATCTCATGCATATTCTTCGTACCGTCTGCAACGATCAAAAGAAAAGATGAAAGTTTTCAGTGTAGAGTACAGAGTATTTGATTCAATATGCCGATCACTTCGTTCGGCCAACCCTCAGAAAGCGACTGGCCCTCACAAATAGGCTTCTAAGCGCCTGTGGCGCCTCAAAATCCACGTATCATTTTTCGCTTTAACATTAGCGAGTTCAGCCGCAGATCTATCGATGGACTTCGGGTTCGATTGAGAAATCGCTTTTTCCTCACAGTTATGGTTGCTCTGCGCCGCCTCACACCCCACGCTCTTCCTTGATAGATCTTGATCTTGGTGGATCCCTCCATGTACTGTGGATTGCGGATTGCAGTCATACCCCGGCTTGTCACCTAGGTATATCCACATTGTCTAATCAAGATTATGCGGTGGTTTCTAGGTACCGAAGCTCGAACACCACACGGTAAAGTCCATAATTTTACTAACAGTCTTCCCAGTTCTCTTGAGCGCCATCGCTCTGTTCTCCCATGATAGCAACGCAAAGCAATTTGAGCACTGGTATCCATTCTACCGATGGACCCTCACAGGCGAGGGGGAGGCCCCTACTTGCCTCAAAGATTACGCGCGCGCCGTCGAGCGATTAGGCCCAAAACACTCGATGACATGTAAAACGCTGGTCAGCTGCATTTATAGCAATACGAAAGAAATCGACAAGGCAGATATGTCCTCTGCGCTGGTTCTGCTCGGCCTCACGCCGACTGTACTAGGACAGATAGGCCCAACTATTAAGAATAAGGCGCAACTGTGTTTCCAAAATCCGATTCTTGGATTACTATGTGCCCTGGGTGCACCAGCGATGGCCTTTGGGATGCCGTGGGCGAAGGCGGATCCTAGAGAACATACTGAAGGGGGCACCTTTGTTTCTGGGGAGCAGTGGCTTTTCAATTGGATTTTTTGCCGCCGTACACAAAAGACTTTGCAGCGAGGTACAACGCCAAACCCGTCAATATGGCCTCGATTGATAAGATATTCGATTCGTTTCCTGAAATATTTGATCGCGGCTGGTGCCGCGGTCAACGTTTTCCTTAATGCTTGGACTCTCGGCCGACAAACTGTTGTCAGTTGGAAATGCACGTCTTCGTATCTCGAGCTTGTATGGGTGGGCACCACCTTGGGTCCAATATTATTTGCGATAGTGGCTTATTCGATGGAGAAGTCTAACTGTACTTGGAGCAAGACCAAAAGCTGGGCCCTATGGGCTCGGTTCTTTTATTCTCTGTCAAATATTGTTGGTGCTGTACATGTTCTTTTCGGAACCTTGACGCTTTCGTCGGTTCTTTTTATTGGGACGTTAGATGCGTTGGGGGTAGTAGGACGATTGACAGCTTCGGCACTTGTCTGTCAATTTATTACAGCCCTGGAGTTAGAGCGTGTGGATGATGAGAGAGAAAGAGAGAGAAAAGAAGGGGAAGCAAGGAAGAGGAAAGAGAACTATATTACCGAGGGAATGACATGCAGCAGTTGCTAAAACGAGAGGTCTCTCTCGTGAGATGACTACGCGAGGAATCGGATGGGCTACAGCAGCAGCCAAATTCCCATCCAATTTGTTCTATAGCTTATAGATCACCATATACTTGGGCTTTTTTGCATTTTGGCGATTGGTAGAACTTGCTTCTGTCTCATAGTTTTGGGACTGCGTGCATCGCTCTATATCACCTACCACACTCCCTGCCATCAAGAGCAGATTTGTCACTTTCGCGTGGCCCAACGCGATCTCCGAGATCACGATCCGGTTGAGCCGGCTCACCTTGATCTAACGGTTTATTTGGAAGATTGCATGAGGCTGAGGATTTTGTGCAGATGGACTAGATAGGTGTATGAGAAGGCAACCAAATCTTGGAATGACGGGAGATCAGATCCACATGTTCGGCTCAACGGTCCAACGGTCCACTCTTTTGGGTCCACGAGTACTTTCAAGGTGTGTATACGCCTGGGCATACTTCTTTACTCAAATCAGTATAGTAGTATCATTGACGAGTGATCTCTGTTCTTGTTGATCTTCAGAATACATGCATCAATTTGACTGGTGGCATGAAGTGTTGGAGATTGAGGCCCCAATGACATGAGGTCCTACAAATTTAGTGGTAAATCTTTTTTTTATTCATCTTTAGCACCTATGGCACCCATTCTCACACGGCTTTATGTCCTTATGGCTACGTATGGTCTGTGTTTCTGGAGTGACTGAAAATATGACTAGCGCTCCGCAAATCCCATGAATGGGGGGCCCATGGCCTAACTCGCAGTAGGCTCTGGGCTATCATAGGCTATGGGCCCCTATAGATAGCCCATCATAGCCCATTAAGAGGGTCTTGGCGCTTCTAAACAGTCGACTTGTAATCGCTATATCCTAGCCTCCTACTAATCCTTTAGAATCTTAAATATCGTATATAAGCTCAAAATAGCCATTCTAATTTATGAATGAATTTTAAGCAAATTTGGACTGGTAGGGGTCAAGATATCGCAAAAAATGCTTGATATTGATATTTTAGAATCAGAAGTTATATATAGAAAAGTCGCTTATATAGAGTATGCTCTTTCCGCCTTTTTCTACCGCCTCAAATAGACTAGAAAGGGGAAAACTATTTTATAGATATCTAAGAAAAAATAGGAAGCCCACTATAAAGGCTATTAGAAGACTACTAAAAAGACCACTAGAAAGACCACTAAAAAGACCACTAAAAAGACTACTAAAAAGACTACTAAAAAGACTAGCGCTAATTAGCCCCATAGCCTAGCCTATGTGTGGGTTAGGTTGGGCTGGATTATGGGCTTTGTGGGCTTTGTATGTTGTACCTAGGCTTCGCGGATGGCTAGATATGACTCACAGAGACTTAGTGGAAACGAACTATATTCTTAAGTATTTTATGTATAGAGTCATGGTTGTGGATATTGCTTTTAGCCTCACTTAGTAACTGAGCTCAGACCCCGTTTGTCGTCTTTAAAGTCCCAGCTTGTGCACGAATACAATCTCAACTTTCCCTTCCTTCCTTCCTTTCTTCCTTCTCCTAACCCTACGTTACCCTGAAAAGGTTCGTCACAATCTGCGACCAGCCTTTTCACTCATTATGGAGCGAGTAAGGAAAACGTTCTTTGACCCGCTCGCAACATCGAAGGCTCGGGTTCGAGAGATCCTAGAGGCCCTTCCAATCGGCTCTGCACACCCCTTCAGTCCCGAGCGGCTTCTTCTTTGTCGGACCGAGAGAGATATTGATGAAATTGATGTCTCCTCCTATCCAGATGACTTTTTCTGCAAGGCCGTGGACATGGGTGAGATGAGTGAGATCCTTCTCGGACGCATGGCTGGGTATCCGTCTCATCTAGGTATGTCTTTTCCTCGTTCGATCAACACGTGGACACTAACAATTGGCAGCGGTATTTGAGGACTTTCAAATCTTGCAAGCACCAGCACCAACGTTTAAGATTCCCATAGTGTCCGGCCAAATTACACTCCTGGCAGTCTCTGAAAGAACGCCCACTTACTACGATTTCTGCTTCGCAGATGCATCAAACAACGTGTGTTGCTGGAGTGCAAGAAAAACCTTTCCAGGAATGACCCATAGCGGTGATATTTACGCTAGAAAGGATCTTCTAGCTTATGTAAAATTTGACAAGGACTCTTTCACAAAAGAGGAACTATGTGTCTTCATATCTGGCTTCCGTTCGACCCCCATAACAAGATTTCTAGGAACCCATCCTGCCGTGCTTGTTGCGGATCATGTGGAAAAGGTATGCTTTCGTATCGTTTTGCCTTCGTGCATTGACTAAATCGTTGCTTGCAGGTCCTTTATGTCATCCCGGTGCCCTTGGATGAAGCGACAATCGGACAGGCAACCATCTGCTGTCCACTGGTGATAAAGCGTGACCAGGACTCCCTTGTTTGTTCAATCTTACCAACAGCAACAAAGGATCTCATGATCAGCGCCAATGGTGATAAGTTGAAAAGCGCTTCCTTTGCGGAAGCGATTGACCGTGCTGATTTTACGATCCCTGCTACTCCTTCAGGCGCTACAAAAAGTAGATCTAGTCACTTCCCAAGCGAAGAATCAGCAAAAGCTGACATGCATGCAGTTGCAGTGCCAATTGGTGATTTTACCGAAGAGAAACCCAGCTCGATCACAGAAGCCTCGCGCATGATCACCAAAGAAAACGCCGTGTTTATGACCGATTCAGCCACTCTGCCTTCCTTCCTTAATTCCAAAAAAGCGCAAATCATACGTTTTGGAACTGGTATTGAGTTCCAATTACCAGGCGGAGAACCTCCCACGAAAACCGACCCATCCGCGATTGTTCTACCATGCATATTTGGTTCCCAACTTGAAGGGCCATTCCTATTGGCAACCGGAACAGTTCCTTCAAATGTTCCCTTCGCTGACGAAACTGCTCTTCTGAACTACTATAAGCAACTCAAGAGTGCTGTCGTAGTTGTGGATGATCGAATGACAGATAATGCCCGCAATCTCGCACCTATCTACAGAATCAATGCACTCTTCATCGTGCAAATTAGTCCACAAAATCAGCCCGGTTCGACCGGCGACATCCAGTCGTTGTTGAACTCAGCGAATATCAACGCTGTCACAGCGCTCGCAGGCCCGCAATCCTTGATTCTCGTTCAAATCTCCCAGAAGTATTACTTCTACCGAGGGATTGCTAACAGAGCCCACATGAACACATCCAAGCTCGAATTTGGAGCCGACGTGACATCCATACTCGAGGCCGCAGGTATGGAATCTATACTAGATCCACGAATTCAGCGCATAATTGCTCTTGTCAATGAGACCCCGATAATTTTGCCCACTTTAGGCCAGTTGGTCTATCCTCAGGAACTACAGAAGTTGCTTGAGAAGCTTCCAATAGAAAAGATTAAAGAGTTGGGAGAGGACATATCGGCAGTAGTTCCCCAGCTCCAAATGCTCTTGAACGAAAAAGACCTACGAGAACTTTCCAGGGCCTTGGCATTTTCACTCTCAACAAAGGCCAGCAGCTTGACAGCTACATTGAGAGACACCTATACCAAGTATCTGATCGAGGAGTACAAAATGACAGATCCAATTTCGGCAAAGAAGAAGAATGCTATGCATGGAGAATTAAGAAAGCTCACCAGGGAGACGCAGATTGCGCTTGAGCCACTAATTTCGAGCTTATCCAACATGATTTCTTCTCGAACAACCTCAAAACGGACACATGATTTAAAGAGACTTGTTCGTCAAACACAGATTCAGACCAATGTTGATGTTGCCAAGTCTATGACTTTTGGCAAATTGGCGGAATATCTTGAAACATACGCGGAAGAGATGGGAGTGATGCTATTGAATATTGAGACGTCGACCTATTCTGAGCTTCTGGGGAATCTGAAAGGCACTGCCATCGATGCCAGGTATGTGAACCAGCAATTGGAAGGCCTTCATATTCTGAGACACCCACCCGTCATTGTTGAACCCATCCAAGAGAATATCCATTGTACAGTACTGATCTTTGTGCCCTAGTTCGTGCTGCAATCTTGACTCAAGAGTTCTACATCTTGAGGGATTTGACGCGGGGATTATTATAGAGCAGTCGCAGGCCAACCACATTGGTCCTCTCCAATGTAGAAATGGTCCCTCCCACCCCATTTTGGCGCTACCATACCTGAGCCAGGGATCGGGAACGGGATCGATGTTAGCTTGGGTCTGTTGGGATGAATTTGTTAACCTCGAAAGTCCTTACACCGTGCGATGGATGGAGAAATGCAACGATGCGCACATTGCTGCCCTAAGAATTATCATGAGATCTACTCTCAGTCAAGCAGTCTCGGCCAGAGAGTATAACATTCAACCCAGCAGCTCAGAAACGGGTCAGCTGATGGGCGCTTTATTAATGGCGGCTATGTCGAAGCTTGCGGCAATGAGGACAACTGCGCCGGTTGTGTCACAGCAGGCCGGGGATACTGTGACAAGACTGATGCGGGGACTCTTTGGCAATCTTTTGACCATAGCAGGCTCCGGAGTGCGCCCTCAAAGCATGGTCTGGCAGCTTTTCGGTCTGAACCCACAATTCCATCTGCCCAAAGTCAATGTTGAGTGGACTTGGTACGAAACCGTGGTCGCTTTGTATCCTTACACCGGATGGCCATTTGAGCAGCTTTACGAAAATCTGGAAAGGCTCCTTGACAAGTCCCTTGCGCGTATGATGGCCAGGAATGAAAAAAAGCCTTGGGTGAGTGGGACAGATCAGATGATCATGTTTTCCAAGCGTCAGAACATTCAGCTCCACCGTTCTCGCACTATTATTACCATATTTATGCGGATGCTTACGGCAGAGGAGTCAAAGATTGCTCCCATCGCAGCTCGTCTGCTAAAGCATCTGCCACGAGAGTTGAAGCGGCAGCGTGAGGGCTATGCCAAAATGATCCGATATCTTGACCATCGTGCCAAGGGAGGCGAACGACGTTATAATGATGATCTCGTCATCGCCATATCCTACACCACGCGCTCAGCTGCCTTTAACTCGTTAAAAAAGGAAGTATCGGACGCGTGCAAGAGTAAGGAATGGGTCAAGATGAAAGAGATATGCCAAGCAATTATCGACAAACGTGTCGAAATTGGTTCTCTCTGGCACATTGACCCTGGCGCCTTGAAGGTTCCTCACATAAAGTTGTACAAAGCTCTTCTGAACGCAGACTTCGGGGATGATACTGACGAGGCTACCAAGACCAAAAACCTCGAACTAAGCAGAGATGCCTTTCGCGCCGCAGAGAGAGAGCGGATCGCTTGGCAAGTCGGGAAGAAAGGTCAATTCGGCCATAAGATTGAGCCTCTAGATGAGGTTCTGCTTCACGAGATTTTGTTCGGGCCAAAGTCAAAGTCTTTTACAGCCATTGATCCAGCTGAGCCAGGAACCACGACAACTGCCATAGTCGAAACCAAAGCAGATGAATTCACGCAGTTCGAATCGGCAATGGAGTCTAGCTTCATCGCTACCATGCGGGAGGAGCTTTCGGCCGAAAATGTCTGCCATATCATTAATGTTCCTGTTACCACAATGCGCGTCTTTACCAAGGCTCTGAATCCAAACTTGGTGTGGGAAAACTTGGGGAAGAACTTCAAGACTACAGTTTTGGGGTTGTTAAAGAATCGTTTGAATCAGGAAGGAAGCCGCCCGGTCAAGAAGTTGTTGGGCCTCGTGAGAGATGGCATGCTTCAAATTGATGAGTGAAGTATGGGGGATGCTTTAAATAGGGATCGAGGTTGAGACTGATGATACGGAAGGCGCCTCAACTATCCTCTTTCTCAGCTTTTTATAGTATTTTATTTACGACTTGAGGAATTTGTTATTTAAAATGTATTGGCGATTCTAGTCTGAGTGAAATGAGCCGCAAGTTTATCCTGTTGTAATCTATAAACGGCTCTCTGGTCTCAAATCCTAGCATATCCCAATGGTATCGGAATATTTGGGGAAAGAAACCCAGATAATGCCTTGACGTCGCTCATTCTCATGACACATCTTGCCGATGTTCAGATACAACTTCAACTACCATTGCTATCAGGTGGAATTTGCCGACGGGGTCAGTGAGCTCCTCAGGGTCCCACCTATTGGAACCCTTGACCAATTTGATGAACATGATGCCAAAAACTTTCGCTCGGAAGCCTGGCGCACACACTATCTGCAGGATATTGCTGCTGCATGTGTAGCTTGGGAATTACGCATTCCATAGGAGTACACTTTTGAGATTGGACGGTCAATATTGCATTATCATGATTGTGCCAGTCAGCAAAGATCCATTTTCGACTCTCAGAGAGGCTTACACTTCTCGTCTGGACGGGTGGAAGGAACAGGGGAATGTGCTTGGAAGATCGCAGCTAAAGCTTCTTCGAATGTTTGTCAACTGGATTTTTCAATCAAGCGGCGAGGAATCATTCATTCTAAGTCATTCAGATCCCAATATCTTGAACTTCCTTATTTTAGAAGACGGTTCTGTACGGACAACCCGCGATTTGGACGGCTCGCGAGCCATGCCGCCAAGTCTAGGGAGTGAGTCTTATCCGCTATGGCTGATGCGCGACTGGGATCCGACCGTATATATATGAAGCGAAGAGATGGAACAGGGAATCTATGGTGGGAATCATGTTTGGGAAAACTCACCGGACACAATGGGGGTTCTATCGCATTGATGCGCAATGTATCGGAAATCTGCTGCCAGAAAGCGAGAACGCCAGAGTGACCCGCAATCCCCTGCTCTTCAACTTCAGGCATCTACGGATGGCAGCGGTAGAATCAATATGTAACAGAGGCATTACCACAAAGGTCCTTGGTGAGGTTAGGAAGCAAATGAAGAACCTAGATAACAGCCCGCCATTCAACTTATCCAGCAATAATAGAAAGGACGAAAACCATAACGAAAATCATAAACCTTCCAAAAAGAATGCGATAGCCGATCACAATTCACCCGAGACCGACGATAAATCCGAACATAGTTGTATTGAAGCAGACATTGGCGAAAAAGAGGACGAAGCTTTCTATATTGATGAGATGCTCCTGGATTTATGAAATGGTCTGCGAGAGCATCAACTAAAGCTTCTCAAGACAGGATTTCAGGCTTTATTTAGTTAGCTTGAAGGTGATGGTGTTCAATGTATGTGGTAATGCAACCTGACATGATGCCGGAGTGACTGAAGGTATTAAGGTCATTGCTGGTATCGGACAAAAAGTAAAAACGCTTGAGTTTTATGGAAAAAGAACCAAGCATTTCATTATGTTTACTTTGTTCCTGGATGCCTTCCTCTGTTCTCTAAAGAGCACCCAAAATGATATACCGTTGGTCGTGAAATATAGACGGACACCTCAGGCATGAGGTGCCGGGGATGATGTCAGCTGTATTATGTAATTAAGTATGTCAACCAATGACAACATCTGGACTAACCGATCAAGGGCTTAGGGCTCACTCCAGTCACGCCCCACTGCCTTTTCGCACTTGAGCGGCTTCTGGACGTCGCCCTCTTCCTTTGAACATCCACCTCATCCGACAAAATGGTGAGTTCCCCAGCATCCCAGTATACCAAGCCGGAAACACCAAGACTAATCGAAATGTGACGAACAGGCGCCCGCAGCAACCGGAGGCAAGAAGCAAAAGAAGAAGTGGTCCAAGGGCAAGGGTACGCAATCACCAACCATGCGACCGTGACGATTTCCGCCGAGTTCCTACAAAACACGAAAGAAATCGTTGGACGAGCTGGGGATACGCACTAGAACCGAGAACAACATTTACTGACATGTCTTTCGCCCTATAGTCAAGGACAAGGCCCAGCACGCCGTCATCCTCGACAAGGCCACCAACGACAAGCTTCAGAAGGATGTCCAGTCCTACCGTCTGATCACTGTCGCCACCCTTGTCGATCGTCTCAAGATCAACGGCAGCCTTGCCCGCCAGGCTCTCAACGACCTTGAGGCCAACGGTCAGATCAAGAAGGTCGTTGGTCACTCCAGCATGAGCATCTACAGTGCGTTCCTCTCCAATATCTAGACTTCGAAACCTCTTATACTAATGACCGTGTTTCAATAGCCCGTGCCGTCACCGCCGAGTAAACGTCTCGTCTCGTCTCTCGTCTTTTCTCGCGGTTTTCTTTTCCTTGCTACGAATGATATCATTTACCATGGGAAGCCCGGCTGGGCATGATGCATAGTGGATTAACGTCTGACTCTTGAAGAGTGTGGAACATTCGCACTCCTGGGTTAAGTCAGGTAGTGCGAACTGAATCAAAAAATCTACAAAACTTCATGAAAAGGACATGCGTCATATTCCGTAGACTTCTCTCGACCTCTACCATCTACCTTGCTGCACTATTCACGCCAATCCAGCAAATCACAAAAAGTAGTCCTACGACTTTTCCATCATCGCACTCCTCTTCGGTCGCTGCTTCTGCGCACTTTCACAAAGCGGCCACGGCTCTTCATCAACTTTATCCTCGACAACTCTCCCCGCCTCAAAATACTTCTTGTGATTCGAAAAGAATTCAGTCCACCTCTTCACCGCCCCCTCAACCCGCGCTCTAGCAGCCCGTAACTCTTTCTCACGACGGATCTTCTGCTGCGCAGACGTCACAGCCTCGTCCTCGACATCCTCAACTGGTAGGAACATAATCTCAACACCACGCATGTCGGACGTAAGATCCTCTTTAAAGCAACCCGTGACAAAAGCGCGTGTTGCGTCTCGCCCCGCAAAGAAGTTGTAGCTCCCGCCCGGTCCGTAGATCATACGGTTTGCTGAGACATCAAAGATGGTCCCATTCACTGCGACGTAGAGGGGCAGGTTGGCATCTGTGCCGTTGTAGAGGGATAGTTGACTTGGTGTCAGGGTAACAGAACCTTGCTATATTTTTGAAACGTATCGGTTAGCTTGAATTGGACATGACCTTTTTTTTGTCAACTCGAAAGGACCGGAAATTACATACCACCCACTGCTTCACCACCGGCCACCGTGTATACCATGGCCTGTACCCCCACAGTAAGGACTCGGAGGAGGTCATGTAATAGGAAAGACCGCCGCAGGCGATAAGTAGGGTCACGATCACGCGGATTATGTCCAGCAGGCTTATGCCGTGGTCTGGGTCGATTTCATCTTTGCTAGAGTGCTGTCTAGAATTTGGCTCTTTGTCGGACCCATTGCTGGGCTTTGACGCAGCTGTTGATCGCTGCCGGAGTTCTGACATGGCTCTCCCAAATTTGCGTCGTGAAAAGTTGTAAGATCAAAGGACAATTTGCATTGTTGGAGTTGCACAGCCCTGGAGGTGGACTTGGCTGACAAAACCCGAGGCCCCGAGTGGACTTTGGACTTATCCACAACTTCACATCTACAAGAGGACCCGGTTTAGATTTTTATTCCAATTCCTATTATCTCTCCAAGCTGCATTCGCTAAAGGTACAAGAGCTTTGAATTCATAACGTTGCTGGCGAATACACTCCTCCATTTTTGGTTTCAACGTCGAATTCGCCTCGATTTAATTTCCATCACTTGTTTGCAGTTGCAGATCCTACTTGGGCCGTAGACCTTTCTTCCCAGCTGCGCGAGAACACTTCGTTGAGGGCGTCTTGGAAGGTGCGGCAGTTCATATCAATCAGACCTCGCTTGTCCTTGGCTTCTGGGTTGCGAATCACCGACACTAGACAGAGGTACCTGTAGAATGAGGTCAGTATGGGGAACTTAGACACTCGCTGAGAAGCATACTTGTTCATCTCCATCAAATGGATCATCGTCTGATCATGCAACACCACGTGGCTTTCTGCTTCTTGGATCTGGTCGCCTAATCGTTTGCGAACTGGGTGATCCCAGGAATACAGCTCGGAAATATCGACAATCACATCGATATAATCAGAGCACATCTCGTAGCAAGCCATATCAACAGGTCGGGTGTCGGAGGCGATGTAAATCTTACTCAGAACATCAAAGAGATATGTCTTTTCAAACCCACAGTTGTTGGCGAGGGTGTTGATAAGATTCTCCAGTGTGGATAAGTTGGGGATGAGCTTTTGAATGACTTTGCTGAAGGCTTCAAAGACAGAATAATCGTAAATGGAAGTCAGATAGTAGTGCACAGGTGCATTCTCGTATCCAGCATCACTGAGCTCGTCGGAGATACGCTGCACAATGTCCTGAAAGGTGTCGGTGCGGTACTCATCCGACAGTCCATCGACCTTGTGAATGAAGACTTCGATGTTGATACCCGGATAGAACTGCTGGACGGTCAATATGGTGCGGTTAAGCCGAGCCACCGAGTCCAGGTAGTCGTCCTGTGCATCGATCACCCAAACCAAAGCGCCCAGGCTGCCGAATATATCCTCGAGGTCGAAGGCAGACTCGAAGTACTCGAGCTGACCTGGGAAATCCCAAACCTGGAAGTCCATGAAAGAACTGCGAGCTCCACGTTAGCGTAAATCGCATTACGCGTATCCTTTCTTTGGAACTTACTGGATCGAGTCCTTTTGGATCCGGGTCGTGGACTCCAAGAAGAGTGTCTCATTTGGTGGCATCTTATGAAATACCACACTAGCAATAGATGACTTACCACTCCTATTACATAGTTAACACCTTTGTTATGTAGAGCTGGCATTGAAAACTTGCCGGCGCAGTCCCATTAGAAGAAGACGGGGTTTAACATCAGGGCCTTTGGTGTTGGGCACAGAGGCCGATCTGGCCTGAGGTGGCGCTGTCACTTGGTTGTTCCCCTGTAAATTATCCAAAAGGCTTAGCTCAGCTTCACTCTTATGGAATGGATATTCACGCCGTCGCGTCCAAAAATCAAACTCACGTCCTATAAAAGGACCATGAGGCCGGCTCACGCGGGCTACCGGTGAGTCGGACATTTAGTCAGACAAGAAAGGCATGCATTTTGGGTAAAAAAGTGGAGCGAGAGACAGGTTAGGGTTGTCAGGATGGAGGATTCATGAGTTAAGGGCAAGGTGAAATAAAGCAACGCATCACATGTTGGAAAAGGGAGAGGGCATGGGGCAGTCAGCGAACCCAGCCAGGCTAGTATCCCTTGAGATGGTAAGGAAAGGCCATAGGCTGAAAACGGAGACCCGTAGATTCAGGATGGCATTATCTTGCAACGGCCCGTTATGAGGACAACCGTGACAGACGTCCCAAGATTGGAAACGTATGTTCCATGGCTATTCCAGAGCTCATTTAGTTGGCTAGAGAGGTCTCTGATGCTGCTTCATCCCCTGATAAATAGCGGGAAGGGTCCGGAACCAAGCAGCTGTCTCACAACGGCCCGTGCATAGATGCAGCGGCACGCGGTAACTAACCGAGCTTCACCAAATGATCCAGCCGCCGTTCGAGGCATTATAGAAAGTTTGGTTCGAGGGTACGTGATTTGTGAGGGGGATAGAGTCGTTTCTTACCTCCATTGAACGGGCGGACATCTATGAATGGGATGTTAGAATCCGGGGTACGCATCAAGGATGGATTACGTGTACTTACTACGCAGTTTATTTTGTATTGGACAGGGAAAATCAGACCAATGCAAGGTCAGAAATCCTCTATGATCACGAAGAAGGCTGGTAAAAGGAACTGGTTGAGCTCAATTTAACGGCACAGACCGACTGTTGACATCTGCATGTGCTGATCTCGCCTAGGACAAAAGCCGGAAGGTTCCCAGTTGTTGCCTGGGATTGTGGTACAGACTCGGATATCTGCAGTCAAAGCTGGAGCATTGTCTCAAGGTTGAGAATTAATTTCGTAGCGGAAGAGTGTTGGTTGAAGTGATCGTTGAGTAACCGTGCTGTGTGAGGAGTGCGGGGGTTGGAGTAGCTCGGAGCTAGGAAGCGAAATGAAGCACGGTCGGACACCAATATACAACGCGCACTATAGGGCAGCAGATGAGTTAAAAGGGATTGAATCGAAAGATGTTGGGCTTTCTTTGATTCAAAGGAGTATTTGTCATGAAATTGTAAGGAAGAGAGGATGAGGAAGAGGAAGAGCAGAACCTTGGAAGGCGGAGGGCGTTATCTTGCTCCTATCTTATCTCCAATCAGCTATAGACCGCCTTTCCTATTCTGCCACTATAATGCACATCAACTTCATTTACACACCTCCAGCCCCATTGATGATGTTGGGCCAGAAAGGATAGCCCAACAGGCTTCTTGGGGAATGAACTATGACCTGAAAGCCCAATCATGCAATCTAAAATGATTCATATTTTTAATCATCATTAACCTCGACAACTTCATACAGCAACCGTCCGGTGGCTGTGTCCATGAACATGTTTAGTCCCATGTTGAGGACCCAGATAATCGCTAATTCGATGCTTCCCCTGCTCTAGCTTCTCTTGCCCATTTTCTTCCTCTTCTTCAGCTTCAAGTGCAGGCCAATCTTCCCAACCGTCTTCCCATATCTTTGCTAACTTGTCCGTCTTCTCCTTTCTGCTCATTTTCTTGTTCTTCATCACCTTCTCCCACTTCTTCATCTCTTTATCATTCAAAAGACACTCATCCAGCAAAGTACTGATCTTGACATTGTCAATACCTTCGCCGATAAACACTAGTTCCTGACGACGATCGCCCCAGGGACCTTGGAAATCATTCTGGATGGATTCCCGCACATCCTTGTCTTCTGGCCAGTCCTCCTCTGACACTTCAGAAAACCAAGGTCCGCCACACCCAACTGTCATCATACCACCTGCTTGGCTCCATTCCCCAAATTGCCAGGGCCTTGTGGTGAGCCAGAAAAGTCCCTTGGAGCGGAGAACTGGACCAAAGGCCGGGTGGGTACGTTTGTTGTTCAAGATAACTGCTGGTTCAGGCTGGCCAAAGTCTCCTGCTGACTCAGAATCGGAGTCTGTGTCCATTTCATCTTCCTCGTCCTCTTCCTGTTCCTCATCACCTTCTTCTTCCTCTTCTTCGACTTCAGTATTCTGGAGAATGATAAACTTGTCGTGAAGAAGAGCGAATATACGGCGCGGATGGAAGGGTCGACGAGCACTGTAGACGAAGTTGTTGATACCATATCTACGCAGGTAAGCAAATTGTCCATCAATGAATTGCCGGCAAGCTTACTCCAAGGTCTCTGGCTTCGGTGCCATCCGCTCGCCGTTGCCTGTCGTCTGTATTGTCATTTCGTGCAGACTTTGCAGCCAGCCAGGGCCAGAAGCAGCACGAACGAAATTAAATTTGTTCGTGTTGATGATCTCCCGGACATCTATTTGTGAGTAACTCGACTCGAGAATCTTTGCGGCTGGGTTCAGTAGCTTCAGCAAATGTGTGATCCTGTCGCGTGTCGCTTGGTCAACCGTCTCGATCTTGTTGAGGACCAACACATCGGCGAACTCAATCTGATCCACCATCAGATCGGATATTGTACGCTCATCCTCGGGGACGATCTCCTCCCTCCCATAGCGGTCAGAGAGGAACTCTGCTGTGTCAAAGCTGGAAAGCAAGTTGAAGGCATCAATGACAGTGACAGTGGTGTCTAATCGAGCCATTGTATGCAAGCCACCTAGTTCCACACTATGTCACGTTAGCAATTCCGCCGTGAGGGGAGATGTGATAACGACACAATACATTTCGTTCAGTATCTTCTTTGCATCGGCATCATCGCTCGCAATCTGATCTTCAGCTTCCAGCATGGCCGAGCTAAACTCAGCCGTGAAAGTCTCAGCCACTTGCATGGGCTCGCTTATGCCAGTCGATTCAATGATGACATAGTCCACCTCATTTTGTTTAGTCAGGGTGGCCAGTTCAGACAACAAGTCTCCCCTTAGGGTGCAGCAGATGCATCCATTTTGCAGTCGAATGAGCTTTTCGGTGGTCTGGGAGACTTTGTGGTTTTGGATGAGGGTAGCATCGATGTTCAGCCTAACGGAACGAAGCGATTAGTTTCCATTCCATGTCCTCCTTCAATGCGGGGACTCACTGGCTCATATCGTTGACAATGACAGCAATCCGTAAGCGATGGTCAGGGGACTGGAGGATGTGTTTGAGGAGGGTTGTCTTCCCGCTTCCCTACACAGGGTATTAGTGTCTCTGAACATGATTCGACGCTGATAATCCTGGCCACATTTCATACCAGGAAGCCTGAAAGCAAGGTGACGGGCATCTGCCGTGTTTTGGGCTCTCGTTCCGTCGGAGTTGGGACATGGTAAAAGACTGAATCTTTTCCTGCATCGATGACCATAGTGAAAGTAGGTAACTTTTATCTTTACGTATACAAAGCAAGAAAGAAGGAGAAAGAAGATAAGCTGAGCCCCCGGGACTGCTAGGGTATCACATTATATAGCATCTTTCCCAGACTCCCGTCTCCAAGTTCCTCATCTAATGCTGTCGGTTGCATTCCTGAATCCTGTATAAATGCCGTTGCAGGTCCCCCAAGGTCAACAGTAACGTAGTGGAGCTATCGCTCAACCAATGGAGATTGTGCTTTTAAATGGCTATGATAATTGCTGTCTTTTCAGTGGCCAGCATGAATCGTCCACAAGGTACCTGGCTGGTGCGCTTGACTTTCACGGTCCCCATTTCCCATTGGTTTTTAAAATCAGTATTCAAGTAGGGGTATGCCATAGGGTAGGGCTGTGATAACATATTTGAATCACCCGTCCATATAAAAGGACCTTGTACGTGGTCACGGTGTTCTCTCCTAGGGCCATCGTCGGGTTGAATGTGAGTACCCTGGCCTAGCATAGCCTAGAACCCCTACTGACTGCCTAATTAAGCCCGGCCTCCTTCTTAAGCTGACTTTGGGTCTCGGTTAGGCCTTTCACTCCATATCAAGAAATAAACCCCCAAGGTTTTCGAAGCTCTTGCTCACAGCCTAACGGGCCATATAAGATACACCATCTTACAAGTCTTCTTCGTGGTAAGATGGTAGATTACCATATATACCCTTAGCCCTGGAGTTTCCAAGCCAAGTCAAGTTCCATCTTGAGGCTCTCCTCGCTCTTACCGTATGCCCTCAAAGCAACCAAGGTGGTGTGATGGAAGCACGGCTAGTTGTCGACCCTTATATTTGTATGGCCCTTCGAGGCCCAGCAATGATCCACGTGAATCCTGGCCTTGGTGTCTTTTGTCTTTTCTCTTTTTTGTCCTTTTTGTCTTACTGTCTCGTCTTAACCTTCTACGCTCGCTCGGTATCACTACTTCTACTACCTTCTAACTCGCTTATTATGTTTCAAGCTTCTATACGCAAAACAGTTTTATTCTCTTACAAAAGGATTGGCTATGATATACCTAAGCCATCGTTGTGGCTATCATTTTGTTTAGCAGCATACTTTGAATCTCCAATCTATCCATAGATGTTCAATGACAATCTCTATCTACCAATCATAAGCCTTGGCAATGCTAAGGAATGTTGGCGAATCGACGATCATAGCTCTCCCGCATGGACCCCCAATCGTACTTGCCCACCGCATATCGCCCATCTAATACTTATCCCCATAACTCCATAACTCCCCTATAGAATAATTTCCCTATCCTATTCCTTCCAAAATGATCGACTTGGGAACCTACACCAAACCCCTAGCCTATCTAGGCCTCTTCACCCTGGGAAAAACAGTCTTCTCCCTAACTCGCCAAGCAACCAACTTCCTCCTCCCCAGCACCCTCAACGAACGCTACAATCCCACCCAAACAAATTGGGCCCTCGTCACCGGCGCAACAGACGGGATAGGCTTCGGCTTCGCTCAGGAGCTCTGCGCGCGCGGATTCAATGTGATCATACATGGCCGAAACGGAGAGAAACTCGATCGTCGTCGTCGCGAACTGAATGCGCTTTTCCCTGCAGTCTGTGTGGCTATTCTTGTGCGCGATGCGCAGGATTTGACCGCAGATATTGATGCTGTTGATGCGGAAGTGCGCGATATCATTCGCAATAACGGGACTGTCGGTTCCGCGGAAGACCGCGGCAGGCTGACTGTGCTTATTAATAATGTTGGTGGTGAGACTAGGCCGTCTACACTTCTGAAGGAGTATACCTTTGAGGATGTGCAGGCGACCATTTCGCGGAATGCGACTTTTGCCATTCAGATTACGCGTGTGCTGGCAGAACAGTTGGAACAGAATGCGCCTGGTCTCGTGATGAATGTTTCTTCGATTTCCGCGTTCGGTTTGCCGTATATCACTACGTATAGCTCTACCAAGGGATTTGTGGATACATTTACAAAGTCACTGCGCGCGGAGTTTGCGGCTGAAGGGAAGAAGGTCGAAGTCATGGGTCTGCGAGTTGCGGAGGTCAGCACCGCTGGGTATGATGTGAAAAGTACATTGTTCATTCCTGAGGCGAGAGTGCTGGCTGCTGCTGGCTTGGATCGGGTTGGGTGTGGGCAGGACATTGTATGGGCCTATTTCTGGCATTGGTTGCAAGGCTTATCGTTTGACTATCTACCGCGCTGGGTACTGATGAAGATTACTGTGATGAAGCTCAAGGCAATCAGGGCAGACCAAGAGGCCAAGGCGAAGAGCAGCTGAGATCGCTGTCAACATGTTATGGGTCTGGCTCTCTGTTTCTCGCCCATCATCAACAAATTGCACACTCAAGTATATGAAGCTATGTAGAAAGAAATATTTGCAATCAGAAGGTCAACAACATTACAGTTAATAAATTGTCTAAAAGCCAGCCGGGGCCTTTTCACGGTCGTCTGGACCGTGGAGGCCTGCGCCAAGGTTCGCTGTGCACTCGCCCTGCCAGTCCTTTGGTGTGAACTTATCGACAATCTGCTTGAAGGCGTCCAAGGTGCAGAATGTCTCATCGCCAGGCAGGTGGTTCTCAGGCTTAGCAGCACAGCCAGGGATACGGACGGGTTGATCATTGTAACGAATACGAACATAATGCTTCTGGAGGGACTCGCGAACGCCTTCGGACAAGGATTCGAGAGGTGCGCGCGCAGTATTGGAGGTAGTGGGTTGCTTCGGTGCGGACTTACCGAACAGCTGGGAGAGGACGCCAGGCTTCTTGGCTGCGACGGACGGGTTGGAGAACTCCTCGAGCACGACGCCGGCATTGGATTCGGAGCGGGGTGCGTCGGAGAAGAGCTCAATTGCAACAGAGGAAGTAAATGGAGGCCATGACTGGTCTTGGAATCCACCAACACTGGAAAGAATCGCTGCCAGGGTGGTGTCGTGGCATCCGCTCATAGCAAACTTGATAGCTTTGCCCGTCTCCGGGTTACCTGACCCGGACGCAGCGGTCTCGCTGCGCCAGCCACCCTCCACGGCGGTGCTGACCATGCGATCAACCACATCACCCATGAGAGCACCAATGCCGAGCTTACGGTACTCGCTGCTCTCACCGTAGCCAGCAAACCACTCCTCAACCGCAATTCGGTCCACGATACCACGTCCCTTCTTGTCATAGAACTCGGATGGGAGTTTAGTGGCTGGGCCATGGGCATCAGTGGCATTAATGGTATCCATAATCCCAGAAAGACGAGGGTGGGCATCGACAGCAACCTTGGGCGATTCTTCGGGCATATGCTTTGACCAAAGGCTGTTCAAGTACGCCATTTGTTCAGAATCGTTCCCTGCATGAACTTCATTAGCCGTGACTCTTGTCTCCATATCCAATTGATAAGCTCATACATCGTGCAGCGGCGCGGTCGGCAAAAAGCCGTGCCAGCTGCCGGAACCGTTTACAATTCCCTTCGTTAGGGAATAGTGTCTCCTCATTGACCTGGCGGGCCACAATCACCGGGGGTGGGAAGTCAAGCGTGCGCGCGCTAGCCGGGTACATGCCCCAGAAGGCCTCCTGAAGCGACTCCAGGGCGCGGGGAATGGGTGTGGCGCGCAGATACATATCCTCGGCATCGCCTTTGATCTCAGGCATAAACCCGAGCTGGTCGACATATAGATGGCGCAATCGTTGTCCAAGCGCATATGTCGTCTCACGGCCCTTGTCTGTGAGCTCTCCGTGCAAGCTTCAGATGGGATCAAGTTAGCCTCCCGCCACATACGTAGCTTTGCAAGGAACTAACCACATCGCTTCGACTGGCCCTCCCGGTCCCGTTGTGATCACCGACTGGTCATTACTGCCGAATGACTCCATTTTCCGGCGCCACTGAAATCCGTTCCACTCCGAAAGGTCTTTGCTGCTCGAGGCCATCTGCACCATGCGTCTTGCGACGCCGCAATACGGCCAGTCTTGTCAAGGGATAATCAGTATATATTCGGCCGATATCGGTATTGGGAAATTGTCATACATGGACTCAAGCCTGCCTTTGGGAAATGTTAGCGGAGACCGTCGGAGAGCGGATTAGTGGAACGTGGTGGTCAATTGCAGCATACATTTGAGAATCGCGATGAGACAGGTGTACGTTCACCTAGGATCAGTTAGAGATACTGTCGGGGGCACTTCAAATGAGAATCTCACCATGACGCAGGAACTGTGTTGGTTAGCTATGTTACGTCTTCGTCGGGACCAAAACACTTACCACTTGCACCAACTCCAGCTTCAAAGCTGCCGGGTACAGTCGAGCGAGCTCATCCTGAGTATAAGGCTCACGGGGAATGAGGGAGGTCATCTCGAGTCAATTGCAGAGAGATATCCAGGAATCTATAAAATGAAATTGGGCCAGGAAATAAACGGACCCCATGGAGGCGGTGAGGGGATTTGGGGTAGACCGGCTATACAGATAAGCCAGGATGCTGTCCAATGAAGTAGATATCCTCTATGTCTCCTTCTCCATACTATTCTGAGATGTTTGAGGCGCATCGGGTGTAGATTAATTTCTTTGTATTCATTGACACCTAAATTGACACAGAAAAAGCTGGGAAAAGCTAGGAAAAGCTAGGAATCCCAAGAATTTATTGGATACATGGTCTCCGCATCTCGGCAAGCTCGCCGAAGCTGGCCTCGGACTAGTATTCTCCGAGATGGAATGGAAAATTTCTACTATGCATATTTTTCATGGTGTAGTATATACAATTAGGAACAACATTCCTCGTAGTCGCTCGTTTCCCACCCCTCCTCGCTTTCACTGGCACTCCAGACAGACCGAGTAGGAGTCTGGACATCGCCAGCCTCGGTTGCTGCTGCTGCAACTGCCGCAGCGGTAGCTGTAGCCATTTGCTTAGCCCACTTCTTATTATTCTTTGCCTTGCGGGCATTATCCTCGTCCTGTCGGGTCTGCTTCGTGCGCTCGGCTTCCTCGTTCGCTGCCCGCTCCAGAAGCTCAGTGAGCTTCTCCAATGCTGGCGCATATGCCTGCGCAAGGGCAAAGTCTCCGACCTTGATACGCATGTAGTCCATCGCCCCGGCGACGGGGCCGGTATAAAGTCCGGGCCTTAGGCTAGATGGCGACATGTTGATGTCGTCGGACAGTGGGGCATTGTTGGAGTCCACTAATTGATCTTGAGGGTCGTCGAATGGAATATCGGCATCTGCGGGCTCCTTTGCCGCTGCGTCCCGGCTAGAATGGGATTTCCCTGGGTTTCGCTTCTCCACGAAAGCGATCTTCTGGTAGCGCTGGCTGAAATGAGTGAGCAGGACAGCACGCGCTTGCATGCGACGGCCGACTTCGATTGCCTCGGCGGAGGTCGAGTGCCGCTTAGCCCTAGCAGATCCAACCATGTCGTGTTGGAAGGTGGCCTCGTGGATGAGCACTGTTGAGCCCTGTCCAATGGCGGCAAATTTATCTGATGGCCTGCAATCGCCAGAGTAGGAAACCTTGAATCCATTTGAGAAGACAAGGGACACAGCAAGCGCACCCCTACAGTGTTTGACACGGCAAGTGAGTAGATCTGTAAGGCCAGTGGCAGACTTGAGAAGAGGAGTGAGGGGAGAGGATTCGTCGTTGAAGTCAACAATATGCCGATGACGATTAGGTAGCTGGTGTGAGAACTGGGTGGTGATTTTAGAACCATTTACTTCGGGCCGTGCGCAAAGAGTAAGCAGCTTGTCAAATCCGAAGTCCTCGACCTGTGAATATTCTTCCAACCAGGAAATCATTGCATCATCAGATACAACAGCCAGCCGCTTCTCCAGGAGGACCTTGACAATATCGTTTTCACCTTTGGCAGCTGAGCCAAATCCATCGAAGTTCTCTGTATGCCAGGCCTTGATCACAGAAACCGTGCCAAGGTGGTGATCAGCGTGCAAATGGCTGATCCAGATCATGCGCAGGTTCCGAAGCACTTCACGAAGTTCTTCAGGCTCAAAAACTCGCTTCAGTTGACCAAGAGTATTCTCGCCACAATCAAGCAAATAGTAGCCATATCCAGGCACCTTCACCAGTGTGGCAGAGACGTTTCGATATTTGGATGGAACAGAGGAACCAGTACCCAACGCGATGATTTCTGCATCCGCTCCAGGCCATTCTGTCCGTTGCACGTGCAACTTTTTCTGGAAAGCAGGCTTAGCGACACGTTTGCGAATGACTTCCATCCGTTGCTCGACAGAACGCGGGATGTTATGCAATGCTTTCGCTGGGTTGAAGCGGGCCATCACTTCGTCGCTGTTGAACCCGAAATTGGGCTCCATGTTGATGATGAGGCCTGGTTCAAGAGGCTCGAGTGGAGAATTCTGGCGAGCAGCCATTGCAGATTTTGAATTAGCATTGGGAGCACCGGGTTGGGGAAGCGACACATTGTCGTGGACAGGAACTGCATAGCTATCAGGCTTCAGTCGGGCGAGTCGAACAGTGGAGCTAGCGGAGCTGGTCATCGCCAGATAGTTCGGGCAGTGATCTGTGCTCGACACAGTGTGCTTGCAGTGGGACATGCTGGCAACGAACTCCTGGAATTTAGGATGTTCAGCCACACCTGGTCCAAGAATCCAGATGAAGGCTTGCAACTCGGTCGTCACAGCCGGGGACTTCCATTCGGCCCGGCTGACCAGGTCCTCGACGTACTCGGCTGATGGCACTTCCATTATGGCAACGCCTTTTCCCGCTCGCGTCTGTCCCAAGACCATTTCTGGGGTGATAGTCTTGCCATCAAGAGATTGGACGCTCTCGCCCTTCGTCAAAGCTGCGTATTTAACGCCCTTCTCGACATTTAATTCTTGGGCCTTCTTCGGGTCGAACTTTCCGCGAATATCGTGATTCCGCACAATATAGCAGACCGCCTCCTTTGAGGGAGAAGTGGTTGGGAGACTGTCGACAGTCGCGCCGGGCCAGGGCTTTCGAACAAGAACATTGATGTCTGGAAGCGCGTCCGGGCCACCGGGCACCGGGCCTTTGTATTGCTCAAGGTCCTTGGTTTCAGGATTGCGAATGAATATGGCGGCCGGCATCTTGACCTCGGCTAGCGGGGTTTCATGGAGAGTGTCCATCTTCCATGTTGAGTTGAACATATCCTGCACAACGGACTGCGTCACCATCAGGTCTCTGGTGCGCTGATCCATATGATCTTCGGTCTGCTCTGATTCCTGGAACTCCTCCAAACTCCGCTTTCGTGGACTCTGTGACCGCAGCTGCGTAACTGGAGAACGAGCCGATGAACTAGGGTTGATAGGCAGGGCCCAAACCTTGATGTTTGAGTCGGACCATGAGGGCTTCTCAAAGGGATCCTCGGCGCCGATAGACTTTTGCTTGGCGAGGGTCTTCGAGTCATATTCTTTCAGATACACCGGCATTCCCTTCCGGAAAACAAACCGCCGAGATGTAGCTAGTGTATGTGTAAGATTCACAGCACCATGGATCGTCAGGGTACCTCTCTGCAAGACTGTCTCGCCTTCCCGCTCCACAATGGGCTTGCCGTGTTGGTGCGGCTGTGAACGGGGCTTAGGTTTTATGTTTTCTTCAACCTCCCTTTGCGCCCGGCGGGCAGCCTTCTTCCGGTGTTCCTCCTCCACAGCCGCTATTGAGGTTGTCACAGTATCGGCAAGGGTCAAAACAATCCCAATCAGCCCGCCTGTGTTGGTCCATTCCGTCCGTCCAGTGACAAACACATCGGTGAGGAGAGAAAGCTTAACGCCGCGCTCTGTGCATGCGCGCTGTGTGCCTTCCGATAGCTGACCAAAGAAGTATCGCTTGTCCGGGAAGTTGAGGCAAACGGCCGTGCCGGGGGTATCGGCCGTTGGGGTCGTGATGACTTGGTAGAAGAATTTCATTGGGGAGATTCCTGCTACAGGTGGGGGCAATGAAGTGAGTTCGAGTTTGGATGGTTCACAAATCAAGTAGTCGTCGTTGTTGGAGCGTCGTCTGGTCGAGACCGGGCCAACTGGAAGAAAGTATGCGTTTGGGTTGATTGTAGGCTGTCTGATCCGGAGTGGCAAGGGTTTCTCTTGCGCTTTCCTATTTTCCGCTAATTGTGCCAACGACTTAGGGTAATTGAATCGCCTTGACCTCGTCCTTGAGTCACCAGGTTTTGGTGAGTCACTGTTTCTGCGATACGATCGTAGGGTAAATGGCGAAACGGAAATTCGAGGGCACGCGCTCCAGGCGACTGCGCGAGTGGCGGTTGACAAGGCACCGCGCACGCAAGAGGAAGCCAACTTGTCTAGAATAGAGGGGATTAAATGGGAAATGAATGGTAATAGTCCCCTGTAGCAATGTAAAGGAGAAAATCGGTGGATCCGAAAGAACATGTTGATGATTTTTGCGGCAGAAAATCCATTTGGACCGCCATAGACTTGGTGTTTTCCAAATACAATCATATAGATATTAGGTATACATAAGCTATGAAATACAAAAGTACATTCAAGAAACATATGTTGCAAAGTCCTTGAGCTATAACAAATTTACATGTTTTGGCTACAACACCTGCATACGAAGAATCACTACTAGTAAGTGGATGTATGCAACTTAGAACGCATTCCGACAGGATCATTTCGATAAATTGACAAGCATTCTATTTGGCTAAACTACACCCAGAATACAGGCTATGCAATAAAAATAAGACAATCATATGGCTGTAGATATCAAGGGTTGGGTTTTTACTCCACAGATCCTTCAAGTACGCCAATAAAGCTCCAAATTTCCCACCAAAAAAATCCGTCGTGGGAGATACACGATATAGTAAGAAATAGGCGCCTTGAAACTCCCCAGGGCATCTAAAAAGAAAAGGGAAGAATACCCCGATGACTCGCAAAATGTGGCAAGAGATTTCACCGTGTGTGAGAATAACGATGGCGAAGAAAAGAGGGATCACATATACAAAGAAAAGGTGGCCGTAAAGGCAGGACGCTAATGGGGAATCACTGGAGGTGGGACGTAACAGCGGAAACACGCTCGAATGCAGCGTCAATGCTGTTGCAGAGGGCATTGAAGGTTCTCTTAGCCGAGTCGCTAACATCGGAATTGTCAACGACGAGTGTGAATTGAGCAGCCTTCTCAATCGAAACACCTTCAAAGGTCATGTCGGCAGCAGGAGGGGAATCAACAAACAGAGCAAAGGCAGGATCAGACTCATCAATCTCGACATTAGGGTTGGCAACACCGATGTCAGACTCTGTGGGTGAGTCGCTAGCCGGACGGTCGACAACGGGAGCCTCATTTTTGGAGCTTTCGGGGATGCTGAAGGAAGAAGAGGATTTTCCGGAGAGAACTTCGGCATCAAGGGCCGGGCCCTCGGGAACTTCCATGACAGCAAAAACGGGAGTGTTCCCGTAGTTCATGTCAATACCTGAGTTCCAGCCGACATTGTTCATGCTCATGCTGGAGGGGTCCATACCCGGGTTGGGAACCATGACCATGTTTGGCTGGGGAGTCTGCTGCATCTGGAACTCTGGGCCACGATTGGCATTTGTGTCCTTAGGCATAGCTTGCATATTGGGTTGGGGTGCAGCCTGCTGGGTTTGTTGCTGAGGTTGCTGTTGAGGTTGCTGCTGGGGCTGAGCAGGCATGGTGTCGCCCATATCATTCAGGAAGTTGGAGAAGTGAGGGGATCCCAAAAGCATGCGGGCCAAGTCGTTGAGACGGGCATTTTCTTCATAAAGAGCGCGGTTCTGGAGGCGAACCTCATGGGCTTCACTGGTTCTAGCAGCCACTTCGCTTTCGAGCTGACCAATGTATTCTGGCGGGAGACATTAGCACAAGGGATATAACATATTTGTTAAAGTGTTCAAATGGTCATACCTTTGCGGCGAGATCGGAAAGCGCGAGCAGAAACCTTGTTTCGTAACTGGCGGCGCTCCTTGCTGCTGAGTTTTTTGCCTTCCTCGCTAGCAAGGAGTCGCTCATCCTCATCCATATCGGCCTCGTCCTTCCGGGCCTTGGCCATCTGGGGCATACCATTGGACGGGCTGGGGGAGCCCTCGCCATTGGCCATGGCATTCTGTCGCATCTGCTGGAGTAGACGAGAGATACGTTCCTCGACCACAGGATCAGGATTGCGGGGACCGCGGGCCTGAGGCATAGCACCAGGCACTTGATCCGGACTCTGCTGTATTTGGTGGCGGACCATCTCACTTTGCTTTTGTTGCTGGGCCTTGGCCATCGCAGCCTGCTGCTGATGCATGCCGGGGTACATACGACCGACCTGCGTGGACGGACCTGCCTGAGCCAGCTCATGGCCTCCGAGCGCGTTAGGGTCGACATATTGGCTTTTGTTCCCAGGGTTTGCTGGGTAGAAGTATGGGGTGGGATTCATGGTTTCGGGTTCAACCTCCATCTCCGACGGGTTCCGGCCCGGTGCGGTGTTGAAATCAAATTGTGCGTCTTCTCGCTTCATGTGATGGCCAGCATACACCTCAGCGTTCACGGGAAATCCTTGACCATTGCTGAAGCCCATCGGGACCTGGCCATAGGACATAGACAGGGCACCGGGGGGAAGACCAGTCTGTTGTCTGTGTTCGTCGTACTGGTGGCTTGGGCCCTGGAATGCAAGAGGAGACTGCCCACTTGACGCGAAGCTGGCGCTTCGGGCGTCACTGGCACTGAACTCGGTACTTGCGACCGACGGTTGGCTGATCATGACCTTTGAGCGGGAGGGATCGGATGTGTAGGTAAGTTGATCGAAATTGATGAATGAGTCGAGATCTTGATCGTAGTTGGCCGGTTGCAACGGATGTTCTGCAATAGTCGCCATGGTGATCTGGATAACCCTGTTCCTCGACTGTGTAGGGATAGGCTGAGATATGGCGTGTGATCAGTGATACGTATAAGTTGATAGAGGTTTGAACGAAGGATAAAAAAGAAGGAAAATATAAGGGTAAAATAGATCCGAAAAACGAAGGTCTAATAGAATATGGATTTGGATAATTTGGATCTAGATGGATCATGAAATTGGAAGTGAAGGGGAAGTGGACAAAGTGTTCCGGAATAGCAACGGGGGGATTGCGCGTCCTTTCTGAGTCAGCGGTGGCCTCAGGAATGCAGCCCCGTGATTGGTTGAATCTCCATTCGAGCGAGATTATTTACCGTACGGTATTCATGGAATGTTTCGAGGATGTTCAGATCTATAGCATTATGTACTCGGTGTATACTCCATACTCCACTGTCTGCTTCATCTAGGCTCTATTGATCGATTGCTAACTGTATATATTCGAATTCTTGATATATTTTAGTTCATTCTCAGTCAAATTGACCCCTGTTAATTATTCGCCTTGAACCTTGGAAGTGGTCCCGGCTTAATCTCAGGAACCATCCGATCCCATTGGCCGAATCAAACTTAGGGCTCGGAGTTACAGTACGGTATTGTCATTGTACCTTTTTTGTCCCCTTCATGACGCAGGTGGCTGTAGCCATCTGTCTTGTTTATCGACCCGCTTTGGGTTAAAATTGCATTCCAGGTTCACTTGAATGTTAGAACAGGTCCGTGAGAATATCTGTATTCAAGGACCTGGAAGTTCATCCTTCAGGGAAATAGCCTACATGTGTACCAACCTTGTTCAGGCGAAAAGTGACTATCGCCGCCGCTAGCGTCGGGGCTGAGCCAATTATTTCGAGTCCAGCACAATACATACATACTCCGTATCAGTGTGCTAACCAGTGTTATCAATTGAACTACGATGTAGAAAACATGCTCGATTGAGAGAATATTCCTAACAATATACTCCGTACATGCGACTGCATCCTCCATAATATTTACAACATACGTACGCTATACTTCGTACCCGTAGAAGCCGTACGGCTCGGTCAATTTCCGTTGGGAGTGATTCTCAATTAGGCTAGCTTATCCGATTTTGACTAAATCTCTGACCTTTTTCGCTGGAGTAAACAATCACAAGATATGCAAGAGTGGACGATGCTTCTGCGGCCTTAAATGTCTTATAGGCCTCTTATGTCTTCTCCGTGGTCTTAGGTATCTCTAAGATATTTGAGTTTCACTCCTTTTCGGTCTTATGTAGATGGCAGAAAAAGGCGGGAAAGGCATACTTTGACCAAGAGACTTTTCTATAACGTTTGACGGATTGTCTCCTAACGCTTACCTAGGTAGAAACATTAGGTATCGTGACTCGTGCCCCTTATTGTTCCCAAAATTTTGCCTCAACTCTTCAGCCCGTTTTTCTACTGTTTAGCCCCACGTAGACTGCATAGAGGCTTAGCTGATTCTGCGCCTCAATTGAAGCTGTAGGTTTTTCTTAAAAATAGACATAGGGACTCTCAAGGCACGGCATTTACCAGCATCGATGATGCCGATACATCAAGAATACCTTCCAACCTACTCTACCTTTTTGTAATTCTAGAATTGTGTGGATCCTTTATCAAACCTCTCGAACAAGTGGATCCAGGGCATCGGCTCGATCTCCATCCACGCTTACCAGCGAAATTTGCCATACGATTCTCGGGATATGGCTATTGAAAATGAGTCTCTACCATGATTTCCAAGTCTCACTCACGTATGCGATGCCTTAAATGTTTCTTAGGTAATGCAATTCCATAGGTCTTTGTCAAATACTAAGTAGCAATACTCGGTCCCTATACGGAGTAATCACCTACCCCCGAATTCCACTGGACCTGATAAGCAAAGTGTCCCACAAAAAAAAGTGCAGTATTTGATGAGTTATTTGTCTATTTAAATGCGTGTTTTTGATCATAATCATTATTGAATTGCTTCTTGATTTCATAGTACCATGGCTATACAGCAGATTTCTGTCAGTCTAGACTAAATCTTTCATCCAGTCTAGTTACTATTAAGACCCGCCATATCCTGATATCCGGACCCTTCACTGTGAACCCTGGCAACGGGTTCATTTTGTGGCTGTCTGACGACTTGTTCCAAACTCCTTTAAATTTGAAATTGATGTGGGCGTGTTCGAGGCTCTGTGGCCCTTTGGTGGGGATGCCGACCTTAAATTAAGGTACAGATCTAGATTGCACCTTATCGTAGACACCGGGTATAATTCTACTGTCGCAACTCCGGTACTCGACTGGAAATCTCGATCGGTCTGGACTTTGCTTGCTTGCTTTATGGACTCGATCTAGTCTTCCCCGAGCCTCTGGAATCTGAAGCAGGATGGGGCACACCCACGTGTCGCTTTGGACTTTTGAACTTCCATGTTACTGGCATTCGGGCTCGATGCGGTCGATAACATACCATGTCATTGTCAAGGCCAGTCCTTCGGGATCTAGGTACATTATGACGTTCTCGGTGATGTTTGAAGGACTAAGAGAATATCCATGATCTCGTTCGAACTGTGTATGTCAATGCTGTTGACGAAATGCATCATCATGCTACATCATTACGAATATTCTATCTAGAAAGAAAAATATTATGACTTGTTCATGGAAAGGCTTGCTCTTCTTTTTCTTTTTCTTCTTACTTATGGCACATCTTTTTTTTTTTTTAGATTGCGTGTGTAGAGATACATTGTCCCCTCGGTCAAAATATATATTTCAATATTCAACACAATAACGCACAGAAGCCAAGAAAAATGAGTCATGGTGTGACTAGGAGTGCTTGAAGACTTATATGATTAATTATCATTTACTAAACTCATAATGTACAAAGCACAGTCATACAAACGACCTGGCCAAATGGCCAAGGAATGTGAGTAATTGCCTCAGGCACTACACTATTCCTCTTTCGGACCCCGACCCCAGAATGATCGTCAAGCGACATCGAGTTCACGTTTGTTTGCTTCTCATTCGATGAATCCAGAAATGGGAGGCTAATGGGCTCATAGTGGCTTAACTTGATTTTCGCAAAAGAGCTTGGGTGCCGTGTTCTTGCTGGTCATCTCATATGAACCCGCCTGGTCTGACTTGGGCAACTATACTTCAGATATCTAACAGTTGGACCTTGGCGAAAATTACCCAAAGACCAAGGTTCCTGATCCCTTTACTGAGACTATGACATCCATCCCGACAATTCTTGCAACGTGCAAGCAGACACGGTTTCATCTGCTTGATGATAACCCTTCGCAGGAGGTATGGGTAATCGCAACAATGATCTAGATGACCACTGACATTAAAATTTGGTTTGTAAACAGATAGATGTGGACGGCCTTAATATTATGGTCACATCCTCTGCGCCTGACTCCACCGAAGATGCATCAAAATCAAAGACCAAGGGGAAATCAAAGGCCAAAGCTGCAGGGAGAGAGCTCATTTCAGACGGGCACCTACGACTCAAAGCAGGCATTCACTATGGATTGCTAGGTCGCAATGGAACCGGGAAGTCAAGTGAGACAAACCTACACCAGTACCATCTACAGAGCTCAGTATATTAACGTTACCAGCGCTCCTTCGGGCAATGGCAGAGAAACTCATCCCTGGTATCCCACATACGACTCGCATGGCGATTTTGCAGCAGACAGACGAACAGAATGACAACCCTTTCGGCGAAGAGCCCAATCAAGACAAAACAGTTTTGGAAGCCGTTCTCAGTGGTGATGAAACTAGGAATGAGGCTATTCGGCTGGCGGACAGTTAGTATGCCTATTCAATCGGAATTGTACTTGACTGACCTTACAAGTCTTATCGAAGAGTTTTGAGACTGAAGATCCAATACAACCCGTATTGGCGATTCGAAAGATCCGACGGCAGAAAGCAGAGAAACATCTCTTCCTGGCACACAAGAACGCAAGCCTGAAAAGCGGTGCTCGAGGTCTACAGGCGAGAAAAGACCTCAAAGCTGCCGAGGGGAAACTTGAGGCTACATCAGAGATGTCAGTTGCTTTCATTCACGCTAGCGACCATATCTGACTTCTTTCAGGTTAGCCCAGGACGTAGACACCATCGATGCGGAGACAGTCCAGTCGGATACCCAAGCCGCCGTAGAGACACTACAGACTTTACAGTCTCAACTTGAAGATGTAAGTCTTCGTACGGTAATCATTGACCTACTCCATTAACGTGGAACCAGATGAAACTTGCCGATATGGAGCAACAAGCTCGTCGTGTCCTCCTCGGTCTCGGCTTCAAAGAAGACGGATTTGAGAAGAAAGTCTCTACGCTCTCAGGTGGCTGGCGTATGCGATGTATGCTAGCCAGCGTTCTGGTCCAAGATCCCGACATCATGATCCTCGACGAGCCGACCAACTTCCTAGATCTTCTGGGAGTAGTGTGGCTGGAGAACTATCTGAAACAACTCCGCGAGACCTCGGAGACAACCATCGTTTTGGTCTCACACGACAGGGATTTTATCAATGCCGTCTGCGAGGAGATTGTCATCCTCCGAGATCAGAAACTGACGTATTTCCGAGGGAACTTGTCTGCGTACGAACAAGATTTTGAGGAACAAAAGCTCTACCTAGGGCGGATGAAGGAGGCCCAAGAGCGGCAGGTTGCACACATGGAAGCCAGTATTCGGGAAAATATGAAGATTGGCAAGAAGACCAATGATGAAAACAAGCTGAGACAAGCCAAGTCGCGGCAGAAGAAGGTTGATGATCGGATGGGTCTGCAAGTCAGCGCGAACGGGGGGCGTTTCAAGCTGAACCGTGATCTGGTCGGATGGCATCACCACAACCGAGCTGAGATCGATGTTCCGACGGACGAAAAGGGTGCGACTATGAGTTTGCCCGACGCGACGGAGTTGCGGTTCCCCGGGCCTTTGGTCTCGCTTGAGGGTATTGTTTTCCAGTACAAGAAAACCGATCGCGTTATCCTGGACGACGTGAACCTGGTCATTCATCTGGGGGATCGTGTTGGGATTATGGGTCTCAATGGTTCGGGGAAGACAACTCTGCTCCGTGTTCTGACGGGACAGGTATCTCCTTCCAAGGGCAAGGTGTCAACTCACTCCCGGTTGAAGATGGGCTACTATAGCCAGCACTCTGTCGAAGAGCTACAAGAGCGTGGCCGTGGCGAGCCCAGTTTAACCGCACTAGGTTTACTGACAATTGAGACCGAAGGAACCCTGAGCGAGGGCGCTATCAGAGGTCTACTTTCTTCAATGGGGTTAGCAGGTCGTATTGCATCTGATGTCCCAGTTGCCAAACTATCAGGTGGACAACTGGTATGTGACATGTGAAAGATGGACGTGGAATATTAAGCAACCTAACAGTATTGTCAAATTTTAGGTCCGCCTTGCATTAGCTCGAATTGTCTGGAGTGCACCACAGCTTCTCATTCTTGATGAAATCACCACACATTTGGATTTCCACACTGTCACTGCCTTGGCCACGGCTCTCTCCTCCTTCAATGGCGCTGTGCTACTAATCTCCCACGATCGTTTCCTTGTTCGATCTGTAATTGAGGGCAAGCGAGACACCGAACACAAACTTGATGAAGATTTTGAAGGATTGGAGGAGGAAGAAACCGAAGAAACACCCAGGCGTCGGTCGGTCTATGTGATTAAACAAGGCAAGATGAGCGAGCAGAAGAATGGAGTGGAGCAGTTCGAAAAGAGCCTGGTGAAGCGGGTACAGAAGTTATTATCTATAGATTGAATGTATGAAAGTCCCATGACCAATTCCCGTGATTCACGCCTGGGGACTCCGGGAGTGGACGAGGTTCGGAATTGCCCCGTCATGACTCAGCCACGGAGGCCGCCGATAAGAGATGTTCCCCTCATTCCTCCGCGGAGTACACGAAGTACTTGGGATATATTTGGTGTCTCACACAACATGCATCTTACTCCTTAGAAAAGAATCTCAATCATGGTTGGCTTGTGCAAATGGATATTGCCTTGCCCTAGGGTTACTCGTATACGCATTCGACCCTACAGCACTCGCGCAAGACCTATCGCCACCCACACCCCTGGATTGCCTCCGCATACCCCGACTGAACCCTCTAAACTGTCACTCAAGTCTGCGAAACCCTTCTCCGACTTCCTCACCGATACCTTCAATCGTCAACATGACTATCTCCGCATTAGCGTTACGGAGCGGTGCAATCTTCGGTGTCTGTACTGCATGCCCGAGGAAGGCATAGACCTCTCGCCCTCTGCGAAATTGCTCACCTCCCCGGAAATTCTATACCTCTCCTCACTATTTGTCTCACAAGGCGTGACCAAAATCCGATTGACGGGTGGGGAACCCACAGTCCGCAAAGACATCGTACCGTTGATGCAGGACATCGGCAAGCTGCGACCAAATGGGCTTCGGGAACTGTGTCTGACAACCAATGGGATCTCATTACATCGGAAATTGGACTCGATGGTGGAGGCTGGGCTGACGGGAGTCAATCTCAGCCTCGATACACTGGATCCATTCCAATTTCAAATCATGACAAGACGCAAGGGATTTGATGCTGTGATGAAGAGCATCGACCGCATTCTGGAAATGAATAAGGTCGGTGCGGGGATCAAGCTGAAGATCAATTGTGTTGTGATGAGAGGAATGAATGACCGAGAGATCCTCCCGTTCGTGGAACTGGGCCGAGAGAAATCGATTGAAGTGCGATTCATCGAGTATATGCCTTTCGGTGGGAACAAATGGAATCAGCAGAAAATGTTCTCGTATCAGGAGATGCTGGCTGTCATCCGAGAGAAGTATCCCACATTCGAAAAAGTGGCCGACCACAAGAATGACACGAGTAAGACATACCGTGTTCCTGGATTCGAAGGCCGCGTGGGATTTATTACGAGCATGACCCACAACTTCTGTGGTACTTGCAATCGTTTACGCATTACTAGCGACGGAAACCTCAAAGTCTGCCTATTTGGTAACTCCGAGGTCTCATTGCGGGATATCATTCGTAAGGAGAATGGTGGGAATCCAATTGATGTGGATGCAATGAACAACCTGCAACTGTTGGAAACAGTACAAAAGGCGGCGCGCCTGAGTGATGAAGGTGGCTTGGTGAATGAGCGAGAACGTGAAATTCTTGACATCATTGGCATGGCGGTGAAACGAAAGAAGGCGAAACACGCCGGCATGGCACAACTAAAGGATATGAAGAACCGCCCTATGATCTTGATTGGTGGGTAGCCATTTCCTTTTTCTTTTTCATGATTGAAAACGCTTTATGACTTGTAGATCATTTCAGATGAACATTTCTTGTTTGGGATTCTTACGAAATTGGCGATATCTTACTTGATACCATGTATACATGCAATTGATAAAGTTGGACATTGTTTATTGAATCATCAGGCTGATAGATGAACTAGATAATAAACCGAAGACGCTGTGGTCAGGGTCTCCCTCTTGGTCCATCATGCCGATACATATGTTTTCGGATCTCCCTGCAGCTTCCCAAAGTCGTCGGTATCACTCTGGGCGCTCTAAACCAGAGACCGAAGACTGTATTCTTCGCCCATCTCCCTCTCTACCCACCGCCTCAGACGCTGATCTCCCTCACCTCACACCATCCAAGACCGTGCACATGACCCAGATCACCGAAAAGCCTGAAACAAAACGCCTCGCCACAGCCGCCTGCACCGTTTCTTTCTCGAACCCAAGACCCTGGGAAATCCTCCATAAAGGACAAACCACGCATAAAGGTGACGTCTTCAGCGTTGCCCGGATTGCGGGTATCATGGCAGCAAAACGAACGCCCGATATTGTGCCCCTTTGTCATCCCGGCATTGGTATTACCGGGGTCGAGGTTAGTGTAGAACTGGTTGAACCTGCGCAAGACGGGGACCACGGTGCTATGCATATTGTGGCATCAGTTAGCTGCTTTGGTCGCACTGGAGTGGAAATGGAGGCTATGACAGCTACTATGGGCGCAGCTTTGACAGTTTATGATATGCTCAAGGCTGTGGATAAAGGGATGGTCATTGATTCTGTCAGATTGTTGGAGAAACAGGGTGGGAAGAGTGGACATTGGGTGCGGGATTCAAAGCTATAGAATTTGCAAGTATGTATAGAGTAGGATTAATGTTGTATACCGACGGATTCAAGAGTTCCTCCTCTTATGGCCCTAATAGGGTATCCTGGCTTATATGTGACCAGCCTTTTATAAATTCTCCGCAGCGCACCGTATTTTCATATTTTGTTTTCCCTTGATCTTTTTATATTATGATCAAGTACCTTTTTTTTTCTCTTGTATTTCTTCAGTTCTTCAGATATGTCTTAGCCTAAGAAATCTCTAGAGCCCACAATACTCGAATCGGCTTAGCTTTCAACTTTTGCATTTTTTTCCATTTTCTTTTCTTTTGTTATATATTGATGTAGACTTTTTTTTATATAAAGTTCTCCTATTTGAGCTGTTTCGAGACTTGTGTGGGTTTCTAAAAAAAACCCTGCAAAAAAAAAAGCATTGAACTTCATTTCATCATTACATCGACGCTTCCAGTAAGAATTTCACACTTTCTTTACCAACGCTGGGGAATGTTGTCGCCAAATTAATCAAAATGCATACACGGCTAATCTGTATGTACGTCTGGGCTTGCCAGTATCAATCACTAACTCTTATACAGTCCGTAAGTGGCGGAGGAAGATTGGGAACGCCATAATGGCAGTGCTCCCGCCTTTGAATTTCTTGACGCTGCATTATTTCTATTTCATTGCGACAAACATCGTCGCCAGTATCATTTTCTACTTAACATCCACGCCATGGCGCAGCGTTGCCTATGTGGACTCGATTTTCATGTGCGTCAGTGCTATGACCGGTGCTGGATTGAATACAGTATGGACATCCCATGTGTTAGCTATATACCGAAGGCTAACCCATTGATCAGGTGGATTTATCGACTTTGAATAGCTTTCAACAAGCGGTTTTGTTCACACTGCTCATTCTGGGCCATGCCATTCTCATCTCCCTCACTGTACTTCTAGTACGCAAGCGGGTGTTCGAGGCAAAATTCAAGGGTGTCTCCGATGAACGAGAAAGAGAGAGGTCAACTCGTAACCACTCGGAAGTTGAACTTCAGGCCAGAGAGCGAGAACCCGCTCATGAAAGCACCGGAACTGACCTCCCCGGCGAGAGCACCGAAGGACAGGGATGTAAATCGCGTTCAAAGACATCCGTCCAAGTCCAGGTTAGATCGGGAGAGCCATCATCCCGCGACGAACAGCCATGGGTGGACGATGACCAAATAACCATCGGTGGCACGCCCTGCCGTCACCATCACCACCGAGTCTTCCCTATGGCTGGCATCGGGGCGAGACCCGATCTCCATAACCATCCCCGCGACGCAGCGCCAAATCTTCCTTTGGTCGTAAAGGATTCGGTGTCGGGTTTCAAGGCAATTCTCCGCGGTACACAAAAGTACATGGCCTCCAAGGGTCTTGTGTCCCGCAACTCCCAGTTCCACGATCTCACTCCTGCTGAGCGCGACGAATTAGGTGGCGTGGAGTATAAGGCGGTTTCGTTTTTGTCGGTGATTGTGTTCCTTTATTTCATCTTGTTCCTCGTGTTCGGTATGATCGGAGTCGGTGTCTGGCTGGAAGTTAATGATCCTGCCGTGACACGCACAAACGGCCTTTCACCTTTCTGGACAGGTGCTTTCTTTGCTGTTTCTGCTTTCGTGAACAGTGGCATGTCGCTCCTAGACGCTAATATGACTGCTTTGCAGTTGAGGTGGGTGACCTACATCCCTCATGTTCCAATAGTCAATCTTGCTGACCACTCTCTAGGGCTTATCCACTTCTCACGATGGGACTGCTGATTCTCGCTGGAAATACCCTCTTCCCATGTTTCCTGCGATTTATTATCTGGATTATGAGGGTCATGCTTCCGGATCGGCCGAAGTGGCAGTCGTGGCGCATAACCCTTGACTTCATCCTGGAGCATCCTCGGAGGGTAAGCCATGTCGCATTATCATCACTCTGATGCCTTGCAGAATATAGACACTTATCATGAAGCCAGGTCTACACGAATCTCTTCCCTGCCCGCCATACATGGTATCTACTCGGCACGATCATCATTCTGAACGGTATTGACTGGGCGGCATTCGAGGTGCTCTCTATTGGAAACAAGGACATTGAGAGTCTTCCTACCGAGTACCGTGTGCTGGATGGACTATTCCAAGCCCTAGGTTTGTCAATTGATATCACCAACATCGTCACCCGAATCACGCTAACAAGATTCCTCGATCAAAGCGGTACGCGCTGGTGGTTTCTACGTTGTAACCATTGCCGATCTTCGCCAAGGTCTTTTGGTTCTCTATGGTAAGCGTTTTCAATGCCTCAATATCCCATCACCGGATTCAAAGACCAGCATGCTAACAGAACCGCTAGTACTTATGATGGTAAGACATATCAGTCTCACGCCCCCATACACTGAACCCCAAACTAATAACCCACCCAGTACGTCTCCGCGTACCCAGTAACGCTCACAATGCGGTAAGTGACCCATAACCGCAACCCATGCTAAAGCAATTCCAATCTAACAACCCACACAGCAACACAAACGTCTACGAAGAACGCTCACTGGGAATCTACGCGCACGACGAATCCCCTGACTCACCCGCAAACACAAGCCGCAGCAACGTAGTAATGGACCTAGTCAGGCATCACCTCGGCCGCCCAGGCCTGTCAGAGACTTCGCGCGGCTACTTCGTGCATCAGCAGCTCCGATCCCAGCTGAGCCATGACCTGTGGTGGATCGCGCTGGCCGTTTTCTTTATCGCCATCGCCGAATCAGACCACTATGAATCCCAGCCCGTGGCCTTTTCCACGTTCAATATCATCTTTGAAGTTGTCTCTGCGTACGGCTGTGTGGGTGTCAGTCTTGGCTTCCCTGGGAAGAATTACTCGTTCTGTGGCGCGTGGCATACCATTAGCAAGTTGATTCTTGCTGCCGTTGCTTTACGGGGTAGACATCGTGGTCTGCCAGTGGCTATTGATAAGGCTATTATGTTACCCAGTGAGTCTTTGGCTTGGGCGGAGGAGGAGGATGCTGCTTTGCGGAGAGATAGATCTAGGGCTTGGGCTCAGGATCATGGGCCTGTTGGGTCTGTTTAGATTTTGGTTTTCGATATACCCCCTTTTTCGCACTGTTTTGTTGCTTAGACTGTTTTATAGAGCGAGAATTTATGAAACCTATGATGATATGAAGTTTTTGAAGATAAATTTCTTTTGTAGGACTGAGTAGCTACTCATGGTGTATCCTGGGAAACAAAGTAGACAGATGCAATAACCGTGCGAAGTAGATGGACACGGACGTGGACAAGGAGATATACAAATTAAAAAAAAAAACTAGACGATCTACTCGTCCTCCATCTCCATCTCATCTTCATCTTCACTCTCGATCTCATCTTCCTCCTCGCTCTCCAATTCCTCCTCCTCCTCATCCTCGCTGCCATCATCACTGCCATCAACACCACCCATAGTCTCATCCTCTCCACCGTTCTTCTTCGCCTCCTCTCTCCGCTTCTCCTCCTCGATGCGACCTTCTTCGAGGACAGCAGCACGCTCCTCACGAAGCTTGCGCTGTGTCTTGACAAACGCACCAATGGGAGTAGACTCCCAGTCAACATCCTTAAGGAAAGATTCGACGTTAGAGCGGTTGCGGGGAGCATAAGAGACATTCAGACGGCGCTCCTCGATCCAGCGGGCATTGGCCTCAACCTTCTGCACCAGCAGCATGATCATCTGGTTGATCTTAGCGTTCTTGTTTCCACCGTTGCGGGCAGAGACCTGCTTCAGCCAGCGCTTGAGGGAGACAACAACAGGCACAGACAGTTCCGGGAATGCAATGTGCTTGGACCACAGGACGAAGAACTCAGAGAGGAGCTCGGCGACCTGCTCGCCAATGCCATCCTGGTAAGTGCGCGAGCGCAGGTAGGATTTAGGTGCGCGGATCGCTGTGTTGAAGTCCAGGGGCTTGAGCGTGCTGGATTTGGGGTGCTTGCGCATCTCCGCTGAGGTGAGGACCTCGAGAAGTGAAGCTGCAAGCGGGATATAGGTGCCCGTGGCGCGGGAGATGCGGAGCAAGGAGCGAGTCAATTGGAAGCGCAGAGGGAAGTACGTGGCGGTTGGGATGAGGCGCATGGCGCCCAGGGTGATTTGCACGACAGGGTAGATAAGGGGACGCAGAGCAGACTGCTTGCCGAGTTGAGCCTCGACAAGGCCATCGCAGTGCTGTGAAAGCACTCGGGACCAGAAGTCCAGCGAGTGCACATATTGCCAGTTGTAGATGGTCTTGTAAGACTCCTTGGAAGTGTTGGTGATGCTCTTGCGCAGGTGCATAGCGAGCTGGCGAATGAAGGAGAATCCTGCTGTGTATGAGACATTCTGGTCAATACCCCAGATTTCGGCTGCGGAGTTCTTCATCAAGTTCACGCCTGCTAGCGTGTGCACCGTTGTGTTGCGACTACCCTTGACAACGCCTTCATAGGTGGCCTTGAGCACACTCTCCTTGATACCTGCATCTCCCAGGACCATAAGGCGGCGCAGAATCAAGAAACCGGTGATACGGGTGGCGTCGGCGGTGGACACATCAGCCCAGATTCCGACGACAATCTTAACGAGTGTCTTCAGCACCTTGCGGAACTGAAGAAGGTAAGGGAGCATGGGCTCAATTGAAGCGAGGGTCAACTTGAGTGTCGATGCATCGGACAAGTTAAGCAGAAGCTGGTGAACTGAAGCAGTGTGCGATTTGATCAGAGGCGTGAGGGTCTTGAACTTCTTGGTCTCCAATGATACTCTGATCTTGCCAGAGGCACTCTCCTTGACAGGAAGGTGATGGGCCAGGACCTTGGGGACAGTGTTGAGGGCGGTGATAAGAACCTGGTGGTAAACGTTCTTGTCGGAGATGGTATATTTTTGCTCAGGAGCCTCGGGGTCGTTGACATAGGCAGCCGCACGGAAAGCAAGCACAGCCTGGCGCATGGCTCGGATCGAGTTTTGTTCCTCCATCAACACCTGCCACTTCTTGACCATTGCAATAGTGAGAGTCTCGTCCTCGGGCTCATCTTCTTCCTTCTTCGACTTTCTCTTCTTCTTCTTGGCCGGTTCCTCGTCTTCGGGTTCTTCGCTTTCGCTCAAAGCGTCAACCTCTGAAAGATCGCCTTGCTCGCCGAAATCGAGCAGTTCAGAGTCGTTTTCCTTCAGGTATTTGTAGAACTCAGGGTCCTTCTCCTTCAATGACTCCAGCTGATCCTTGTGCTCGTCGTAAGCATCAACACTGTCTGCATCATCATTGTCACCCTCGCCATCAGAAGCCTCAGCGTCTGCCTGTGCCTTCTCTTCTGAGCGCTTGCGCTTGCCAATCTTGGGGGTGGTATCCTTCTTGCTGGCCTTCTTTCCCTTCTCTTCGGGAATATCGAAACCACCAGCGAAGAAGTCGTCGACGTTCATTTCGGAGAAGGCATTTTCCTTCTTCTTTTCCTCGGGATTAGCCTCTTCGGCGGCTGCGGCTTCGGCGCGACGAGCAGCGGCTTTTTCCTTGCGCTTGTCATTCAATTGGTGTCTTTGCTTGATCTTGGCGTGCGCTTTGCGTCGCTCAAGAACATCCGGGAGGCGGTTCTGCACGAACTTCTTGGTCGATTTCTTGCCTCCAACCATTTTGAAAGAGTGATGCAGAAAAGAATCTGCAAGTTGTAGCTTGGTCGGGAAATGGCTGGTCAAAAAAAAAATTGGGGAGAAAATCAGCGGGTCCGCCTTTCAGACCGCCTTTGGCATCGGGCGATAACGTCCAGACAATCTACACAACAGACAACATTGAACTCTCAAACTTACGATTGGCAACTAACGATTGATCATTATTGTACATAGCAAGAATTTGCCAAAAAAAAATGTACTCCCAGCGCCCATTGTCTTATGCGCCAACGCCCTACAGCTACACACCCGATCCCGCCCGGTCAGCCACAATCAACCTTGATGAAGTATGGATCCTGGTCTCCGCATTGATAGCCCATGTCGACTAATGTAACTTATATTAGGAAGTCAAACTAGCATCAAGCTCAGCTGAACGCGATTTATACGAATCACTAGCTGAAATCTACAGCATCATTGTCACCCTCGATGGACTCGAAAAAGCATATATCAAGGACGTGGTCACCGAGGCAGAATATACCGAGACATGCACACGACTATTGAAGCAATATAAGTCCAGTCTTGGAGATGAGACAGTGTCGCGGGAATTCGTGGACCTGGAAACCTTCAAGCGGACGTGGGGGGTGAGTGTCTCTCTCGATCTTACCCCGCAAACTCGAAGGCATAGCTGACGCTAGGTGCAAAATGTAGCTGGAATGCCCACGGGCTACAGAGCGATTACGCATTGGTCTTCCGGCCACAGTTGAGCAAGCTTCTCACGGCGGACCAACCTCTAGTATGGGCGCAGCGACAGCGGGAGCGGCTGGTGGTGCCTCAGGTAGTCTTATCCTGGCAGCAACCGAGAACTTCATCACATTCCTCGATGCTTTGAAACTCAACATGGTATCCAAGGATGCACTACATCCACTATTATCGGAGGTGATCCAGTCTGTGAACAAGGTCACAGATACCGATTTTGAAGACCGCGGCAAGATCATCCAGTGGTTAATCGCATTAAATCAAATGCGAGCTACTGAGGAATTAAGTGAGGATCAAGCTCGTGAACTTGCATTTGATATTGAGCAGGCTTATCAGGGCTTCAAGGCAACCTTGAACTGATTCGGGGGATACTTTTCTGGTGCACCGGCAAGGCGTTCATACGGACAGTAGAGATACCATTATGTTTCCACGTATTGACATGATTTTCAGTGACTCCTAGCTTAATATACCCACTCTGGCTTCCTTTTGATCGATTTGCCCTTGTACAAGCATAGCGATTAGGGCATCGATAGCCAGTTGGTGTTATCATGGTGCCTGGAAATTCAGGCTACAATAAATCCGCGGAACGGCAGCGCCAGCCTTTCCTCTTTGGGAATATTTTCTTTTTTCTCCGCCACATTTCGTCCGATTCCCCTAGCGTGAGGCCAATCTGTTGCCTCGCATTCTTGTTCAGTAACACATAGGGGAACATACAGCTATCGCCATGATCAGTGCTACAGATGAGCCTCTCCATGGTTAGTTCACAAACTACTCCTTTGATCTACTCGGTCCACAAAAGATAATGGAACTGATAAGCGCAGTGCTTGATCTCCCGCAACTCTACCAGAAGCCTTCGGGAACCGATCTCGTGAAAGCTTTGGCTCTTTTGAGCTTGCAGCCACGCAAATTTGGCACTACGGCCGATGTCGTCAAAGGCCCCGCAGTCCAGCCTACAGGAGTGACTAGGTATCTCACCTCGATCATTGCCAGTCCACTGGCATGGCTAGACACCGATGAACTCCGGGAGGCAATCTGGGACACGGCTGCTTCACGACTAAGTGAACGGTCTGGTCGAACAGGTAAGAAAGCCAATATCTATCGAGCTGTGTTGTCTCGCTGACCGTGACTCATTTGCCACCAGCTATGCCGGCGATGTCTCGAACCTTCAACGTGCCCACCTCCTCCGGCGAAGAATACACACTAACTCTCCACGAACCATCAATCACGGCGGACAACCTGGGTATGAAGACTTGGGTATCTTCCTACCTCCTCTCACGCCGGCTTCACAACCTTGGAGCGCCACCAGCACTTGTTCCCTCGGCCTCGGCTACAACGTTCAGCCCCCAAAGACCTCTGCGTGCACTTGAGCTTGGTGCCGGAACAGGCTTGGTCGGGCTTTCCTTTGCAGCTCTGCAAGGTAAGTCTGCCACCGTCCACCTCACCGACTTGCCCGAGATCGTCCCAAACCTCGCCCACAACGCTGCGTTGAACGTAGAACTCCTCGGCAGAACTGAGGCGACTGTAACTACCGGTTTGCTTGACTGGTCAGTCACACCGTCACCCCTTCCCACTGCGGAAGAGCAGTTTGATGTGATTCTCGCTGCGGATCCATTGTACTCGCCCAATCATCCCAAATGGTTGGTGGATACCATCAAGCCTTGGCTTAGCCGCGGACTAGGTGCGCGAGTCGTGGTGGAGATGCCGCTACGAGATGCATATCTGCCGCAGGTGAACGAGTTTCGGCAGCGGATGGGCGAGTTGGGTCTGGCTGTGGTTGAGGAAGGTGAGGAGGTCGGTTACGATGACTGGGAAAGCGCGGATGGAGGTGCGCTAGCGGTCAAATGTTGGTGGTCGATTTGGGGATGGAGTGAAAAGGTATAATGGCACACTGCCAGGTCATATTTGGAATGGTGGCCAAACGAAATGACGAATAATAAACGATACACGATAGATTAGAATAGGGATTCCTGGACGTTGGTTATTGAGCAATACAAGCATCATGCATCTAGAGAGGGTTAGTAGAAATCCGGATCTTGAAAACAAATTCCTCTTGTTTTAGAGATCAACTTGAGGAAGATTAGACAGAAAAGGGCAGGTCCATCACGTGGCGATGACGTCGGCACCATTTCGATGAAATGGGATTTTCTATCATCTTCTGTATTTCTAAGGGTTCATGAAATTTTTACAAGAAGAATGTTTTATACAGGACACAGATATTATTCACATTCGTTTGGTTAGTTAATAGCCATATTATTTAAATATCAAGCAAATCGTGCTAATATGCGACAACAGACCTGAGTCCTGACCAAAACGCCACATGAACGTCAGCTGCAAATTTCCAAAATATAATATATCGGAACGCGATTCATAGCAGACTCAATTCAAAGATCTAAGTCGCGATATATTCGAGTATTTTACCGCCTACATACCGACTGTGATCTGTTCCTTGCCCTTGACCTCTCGAACCGGAATATCGCATACCCAATATTGCCTCTACTCCAATAAACACCTGCACAATGATCGGACTTCTAGCCCTCACCTCTATTCCAACAGTGACGGGTATAGCTCTCGCTTCCAGCGAACAGCGCAAGGCAAATCAGCGCAGAGAAGACGCCCGTCGCATGGTAAAGTTCAACATTATCGCCGAATGCGATGGAGACACAGACGATGACCGTGAGTTGAACGGGATGGTTGTCGTCGTGAGAGACGAGAAGGTAAGGAGACCCAAGAAAAGCCAGATCAAGGATCTAGAGACGTCGCAACTCCTTTCAACATCGTACTCGGAGCCCAAATCGCAGAGCTAGACTAACACCCTTACCCTCGCAGGTCTACATCGCCGATCCAGATCCCGCCAAACGAGACCCTCCAGCATTCACATCCCTGGCCTTTTATATCGAGTACCCAGAGCCGGAGGAGTTGAAATATCTCAAGCGCGAACGTGGCTTGGGTCTCCCAACTTACGTCCAGGACAATCCGCCCCTTCTCAACTGGATCTATGCAGATGTCGAAACGCATGAGTTGCGGTACGGGAATCGGTCACAGAGTGTGGAGCAACTGGTTGAGCCGTGGGACTGGTGTAAGAATGAGAGGATCATTGCGCTCGAAGGAAAGCAAAATAGGTTCATTGCGGTTGAGGAGGAGGAGGGTGAGTGGGCGCTTTATTATGATCGTGATGGCGATGAGCTAGCGCGCGTTCTCGAGGAGCAAGATCTGCTGGATTGTCCTTTTGTGCCTGTCACGCTGGTTAGGAAGGTGGTTGAGGAAAAACCTCCGCCACCTCCTACTGCTCAGCCTGCACGACCTCAGATTGCAGCTCCTCAAGGTCAAGGGGATGGTCAGAGCCAGAAGTAGATGGTTTGGAGAGCGGGATGAAATATCATGATTGAGACGAAAGGCTTTTATGTGCATATACTTCATGAGATGACTTAGTGCGTTTATGATATGATCGTGATTATAAGAATACCGCGGTAGCAACCTTGGAATAGTGTATTGTACAAAAGAAGCCCGAGCATTTAATCATCCAATCCACCCCAGCTACCAGTGTCGCTGACATTGCCACTAGCGGCTGCTGCGGCCTTCCTGTTGCGACTGGCCTCGATAGCGCCCCTCTTCTTATTCTCCAGACGGCGTTCAAAGCCACTCTTGGTACTGATTCTCATACCACGAGTGCCCTTTCCATCCTCCTCCTTATCGGTCAATCTTGGGGCCTGACGTGCCTTGACACCATGCCTCTTCAAATCCTTCTTGCTGTTCTTGCTCAAGTTCGGCAGAGCATCGAGTAACCATTTCTGGATCGATTTGTCGCCTTCTTCACCGCCGCGCAGCTTCTCACTGACGTCGATGATGTTGGCAATGCTCTTTACATAAGGAATGTCTTCCTTGGTGTAGTAGGTAACCGCGATACCGCCCTCGCGACCAGCACGGCCAGTTCGCCCCACGCGGTGGACGTAGACGGCGGCTGAGTTGGGGATATCGTAGTTGACCACGCCGTTGATACCGCGGAAGTCGACGCCGCGGGCTAGCAAATCCGTTGTAACCAAAATCCAGATCTCGCCTTTGCGGAAGTCGCGCATGATGTCAGACCGTTGGCCATCTGAGAGATCGGAGTGAAGAACCGCAATACGTGAGGACCCACCTGCTTCGGCGGGGATATCATATTTGAGTTCAGAATGCAGAGCCACCGCACGAGGGATGGTCTGTGTGAAAATTAGGAAGGGAGGGCGAAGGCGGATATCTGATGGCGAGGCTGCAGCCGGGCGAAGAAGTTGACGAAGTCCCATCAGTTTACCCTGTTCTGTTGCTGCGTAGACAAGTTTGTGATCGATGTTGGGGATCGCAGAGTCTTTCAATCCTACAACCAGACGAAGTAGTGGATGTGTCTCGCTTGGCTTTTGTCCGAGATCTTCCAATCGCTCCCTGATAGTCGACTTGGTGAGATCCTCAATATTGGATCCCATCGTGGCTGACCAAAGGCCGACACGCAAGTCGGGGTGTGAGCATGATTTCCAGATATCGAGTGTCTGCTCCCGGAACAACGGGTCCAGGAGGACATCGGCTTCGTCCATGACCAAACTCCGCACTAGAGGTAATGTTGCCATGGTGGTAGTCCGATTCGCGGATAAAGCATTGACCAGCATCAGAGGCGTAGTGACGAGAATATCACTCTTGGTGACCGGAACGTTAGCTCGCTCCTTGGCTGGCTTGGTTTCGGCGTCTTCATCTTCCGACCCCGATGATTCTTCGTTGTTCTCGTCCAGAACATTGGCATCCCCATGATCTCCAACACGCATACCCTTTCTCATCAGCGTGATCTTCACACCAGTTCCAGCAACTAGCTTGCGGCCCTCGTTGACGATCTGGCTTGCAAGCTCCCTGGTGGGCGCCACAACCAGAGATAAGATACCATGCTCGTCGGGGGTTGAGTGGTGGTGCCGAACAATTTTGTTGATCACGGGGATCAAGAATGACAATGTCTTACCACTGCCGGTGGGAGCAACAACCAGAAGATCTGGCTCGGAAGACTGTCCAAGAAGCAACGGAAGAGTTCCAAGCTGAACCTCTGTAGGTACAGTAAATCCTTGGTCTGCAACGTTCTCTGCGAGCCGTGAAGAGATTTTGTATTTGGACCGAAGCTCCTTGAAGTTAAGTAGGGGCTCCGGGAACAGTCGTCTTGCACGCTTCTGCTCCTTCTTACTGAGAGTCGGTGCCTCTTCTTTCTTTGACTTCTTCTTTTTCTTCTTGGAATCTGTGGTAGATGTAGGCTGGACTTGAATCTTTTCTAAGTCGCGCATATCGGTAACCTTGATCTTATGCGAGTTCAGAATAGTGCGACGCTCCACTTCATCCATGGATTCGTCGTCATCGGATGCGGCATCCTGAGCAGGCACTTTCTCATCGTCCTCGGTCAAAGCAACGGTTTCCGTCACACTTACTGCAGGGCGCTTGTTTGAGCTGAAAAAGTCAAGATCAGGGATATCTTCCTCGTCCTGTTGAACGGCAGCGCCTCTCTTTCTTTTTTTGCCATTCTTGGCAGACTCGAGCTTGTCGGTCTCCGCGGTCCGAAAGAGCTGCGGGTTGACTGCTTTCCCGGTGGACGGGAGACGAGAGTCTGAAGCCGCCGAAGCGGGCTTTAATTTTATTGACCGAGTCAATAATTTGAACGCATCCATTTCTTTTGTGGTTGAGTCGAAAATGTCGTTGATATTGTGAAGAGAAAAAAAAAGTGGTCCGCCGACTTTCCTCCCGGGCCAATCAGCGCTGTGCATATATCACCGCCGAGGCCGCGGACAAAATAACGAGAGCAGGATAATTTGGAATGAAACTGCCTGGATGTGAATAGACATAGCAGAGTAGGACGATTATTCGTACCTGAGGGATCGAGATCATAGCTACAGAGGCTTGGGGAATAAGAATAAGGCAGAGTCGAGCTGAATCGGCCCTTTGATTACAATTGAGCATACGGAATAGATTAGTTCGTACTTTCATGGCACAGACAGGAAAACAATTGCAGTAACAAGGTCTATCTCAGACAACAGTTTAAATTCCATCGTCTATCATACACAGCACAAGAAGATTAACATAGGAAAAAAGGAAAGGACGATTCTCTTCTATCCATATCCATTTAGTGCGCGTGCGCAGGCTCGCCACGGTAACCAACAATGTTCATCCGACCGATCATCTCGCCAACAGTGAAGAAGCCAATGACCTCAGCAGCAGTGACACCGGCGAGGGCCAACTGCTTGGGGCTGGCGTTGCGGATAGAGGCGAGGATAGCCGATGGGGAGGGCAGGGTCTTAAGGGCGGCAGGGTTGGTAATGAAGGGCTGGAAGTAGGACTGGAAGGTGGCCAGGTTGCTAGGAGGAATTGTTAGAATGAGAAGTGAAGTGTAGTGCGGAGTTTAACTTACGGGGGAGCCATGTTCTGGCCACGGAACACTAGTCTGCCGAGCTCAATTCCGACCTTGGAGTAGTAGAGGGTAGGAGGGATAATCGCTAAATTGATTGATGGTTAGCTATGCACCTTGTGCAGATGTAATCCGCCGATTGAAGTCAACAAGGAGGTTGGGATTGGGTGCCACGACTCCAACCGGATCAATCGGTCAATCGTTGGCTTTCTCTGTATCTGAGTATCCAATGTCCAACGCTCCGTTATAGTCATCCAAGCGGGGGAAAGAATCAAGAGTGTCCCTTACAATCGACGAAAGAGATGACCTTGCCGGCGGGTCCACCGATCTTGCGCAGGGCGCCAGCGGCGTTGGAGATGGCAGGACCAGCGGAGGCAGAGACCTTAGACAGACCCTCAGAGGCCTTGGAGGCAGCTGAGGAAGCAGCCTCACCAGCCTCGGAGGTGGACGAGGCGTGTCTGACGACGGTCCTCCGGGTGAGGAACTGCGATTGCCGCAGGACGGCACGGGTGGCGGCGGGCATTTTGAATACTGCGGAGGGAATGAGTGGAAAAGAAGAATTAAGCAAAAGACACCCGAAGCAGTCGCTAATAGGAGGGCAGTATGATCTAATGATCTGGAGTCTCGCGCAACGGCAGAACCAGATGAAGATTTGACGCTCGGGAACTTCAGGAATTGCGGGTCACGTGAGCCCGCCTCACAACCCAAGTCAATGTTGTACTTTTCTGAACTATATATTTGAGGGGAATTTATGGGACTTATGGACTTATTATTTACAGAGTAAAACTCGTCTTGCTTGGTGGTGTGAATCCGAATGTGGATAGAAGCTTAGCACTCTGCTATGGCATTGTACCTGCATCCGGCCCGGTTAGTCGAACCACAAGCTGGAACTAGATCCCGGAGAGTTGAAATGAGATGGGAGTTTGTCCCCAAGGTGGACTATTAAACATAATAATGGCTTCTTTGTATTTGAACGGGCGGAAAATGGTCTGCAAAATTTGGCTCAAAAAGTCCATATGGGAGCCATCGTGCCAAAATATATATTGCTACACAGCAAAGTTATTTCTTCCCTTGTCTCAAACAAATTGGTAGAAAAAATATAATATCAGCTGTGATCCAGGCGATGCATTATCAAAATAACAGATAATTGATGTATCGAGAAATAAGGAGAGATTACGTTCGATTCTACTATAAAGAAAGCGGCTGGCCATGTATAGGCTAGAGAGAACGGGGCTATTCCTAACTGAGTAGATACATATGTTGTATATAGAAAGCAGCTAATTTCACGTTCTGGATGATATTCAGCATAACAGTTTCTGATTAGATACCTACTCTGTTATATATCTACCATTGCCTTATAGTTGTACCAAGCAACAGCAGCAGCCAGTCGAATCGAGAATAGTACAGGATAAACCTGGATATGGCTACATGATCACCTTGTCCCACATTCAAGGTCAGAACACTATATCTATATGTATGTAAGTAGTTGGACAACTGTCACACATCTCCTTCGCCTACTGAAATATCGGATAGAAACTGGCTGGACCTTGGTAGACTTGTCAAAAACAGCCCCCAGAGATGTCCACGATGAGAAAGATGTATCTGCCATATAGATCTCAACGTAGTCAACATAGGTATACTCCGGAGTACTCTGTAGAGAGATATATAATCCATGCAGAGTGCTCCAAGGACCATGTGAAAAGTAGTTGATGCCTGAGGCTAGACTATTTGCACTGTTTGTTTCGGAAAAAGGAATTTGCTCCACTGGAAATTCATTGACCTCCGCCGGAGAATTCCCTCTCTTGATCCTATTCCATGCTATACCACATTTACACCCGGAACCTCTTTACATTGCTTCAATATGAATCGAATCCAAATAACCCAAGGGATCTGTGGAAGTTATCCAAGTGATAACGGGGTCAAGCACAATATTAACCGATAGCCGATCAGTATTCGGCCCGAGACTGAGAGCGGGCCAGGATTTCCTCATTCAGACGGAGCGAGTAGTTTTCTCCCGGTTAAATCGAATGTCCCTTGACTCCACTTTTTCATTACTCCATATCGGCGTGGGGTTGAACAGTATGAGATCACCAGACACAGAATTCTCGGATTCGAGTATTAAAGTGGCTGCTCCCTCGCATTCATGCCTCTATTCTCTATTCTCTTCCTCTCCCCTCTCTTTACTACACAATGACTTCCGCAACAACCGTCACTAAGGCCAACATCGGTGTTTACACCAACCCGAAACATGACCTTTGGATCGCCGAGTCTACCCCCACAGCAGAGGACATCAATGCTGGCAAGGGCTTGAAGGCTGGCGAGGTCACAATTGAGGTGCGCAGTACTGGTATTTGCGGATCCGATGTGCACTTCTGGCACGCTGGCTGCATCGGGCCGATGATCGTCACAGGCGACCATGTCCTCGGTCACGAATCGGCCGGCCAGATTATCGCTGTCGCCCCCGATGTCACCCACCTCAAGGTCGGCGACCGTATTGCCGTTGAGCCCAACGTTATTTGCAATGCCTGCGAACCCTGTCTGACTGGTCGCTACAACGGCTGCGAGAACGTCGCTTTCCTCTCCACTCCGCCTGTCGACGGCCTGCTCCGTCGGTACGTCAACCACCCCGCCGTCTGGTGCCACAAGATCGGTGATATGAGCTATGAGGACGGTGCCATGTTGGAGCCCCTCAGTGTAACCTTGGCGGCTATCGAGCGCAGCGGTCTTCGTCTTGGTGACCCACTACTTATTACCGGCGCCGGTCCTATCGGTCTGATCAGTTTGCTCAGTGCACGTGCTGCTGGTGCCTGCCCTATTGTCATCACTGATATTGATGAGGGCCGCTTGGCCTTTGCCAAGTCTCTAGTTCCTGAAGTGCGCACCTATAAGGTCGAGATTGGCAAGTCCGCCGAAGAGTGTGCCGATGGTATTATTAATGCCATGAATGACGGTAAGGGTTCTGGCCCTGACGCACTGCGCCCCAAGCTGGCCCTGGAGTGCACCGGTGTCGAGAGCAGTGTCAACTCCGCCATCTGGAGTGTGAAGTTCGGTGGCAAAGTGTTTGTCATCGGCGTGGGCAAGAACGAGATGACCATTCCCTTCATGCGTCTCAGCACCCAGGAGATCGACCTGCAGTACCAGTACCGCTATTGTAACACCTGGCCGCGGGCCATTCGCTTGGTTCAGAATGGTGTGATCGACCTACGCAAGTTGGTTACTCACCGTTACTCACTTGAAGATGCTCTCAAGGCCTTTGAGACCGCCTCCAACCCTAAGACCGGGGCCATCAAGGTGCAGATTATGAGCTCGGAGGATGATGTCAAGGCCGCCACTGCTGGTCAGAAGTTTTGAGCGAGAGTGAAAAAGATAAACGGTATTTGAGAACAACAGCGGGTTTCTGGTTGGGGTTAAGAGCGGCTGTTGGCATTGACGATTTTCTTATGTTTTTTTATATATATATTCATGAATGATATCTAGAGAATGCCCCTGGGATAGAAAGCTCATGAAAAGGGCTATCCATTTAACACAATCTTTGGGTTACAGTATAAGGTAGAAACTAGGGAGGTGCTATAATTAAGGTACCTCACCAAATGGGTCCTTAGCCAAGAATCCCTGTCATTTCAGCCGGCAAGTCTGGGGAAACAAATGGGGTCAAGACTGGAGGCTGCATGAACTTGTAGCTGTTCGTACTTTTGTATAAACCCCAAACCGGAATTGACCGATCACAATCAAAAGTGAATCCGATAAATGCCCGTTCCCCTCATAGTGACTTGTACTGCCGTAGAGATTTGGACCAGGTGCCAACGCGCAACGATGTGACAGAGCAATTGTCAATGTACATTAGTCATGTGGTCATGCATCTCTCTCTAGCATCTCCTTGATGCGCGTTGTATCACCCCTCATTTGATTTCAGGCCAAGACATCCTGCAGCACTTAAAAGGGTCCACTGGCCCTCTTATCAATCTACAACCTTCAGTGTACTCTGTCGTGTGTCTATGCTGTGTTTGTGCTTCATTCGTCAAACATGAAAGGCGCATTGTTTCTCCTGGCTCCCCTAGTGGGTGGTGTCTTGGGATCGACATCTGATATTGACAGTTGCCCTGGCTACAGAGCTTCCAATGTCAAGCAGCTGGACCAGAGATTGACAGCTGATCTCGAGCTTGCTGGAGAGGCCTGTAATACCTATGGCACAGATCTTCCAACCTTGAAGCTCCTCGTGGAGGCACAAACTGGTATGCTACAAAATCCCTTTACCCATGTCCCCCACTATAGATATATACTAATGATTCCACTAGAAACTCGCCTTCATGTCATGATCTATGATGCCGATGAGGAAGTCTATCAAGTACCTAACTCTGTCCTTCCCAGACCTGAGAGTGCAAAGGGTCACCGAAAGGAATCCGCCCTTAGCTTCGACTTCGAAGAGAATCCTTTCTCATTCAAAGTTCTGCGTGGGGATGAAGTGCTCTTCGATACCTCTGACACCAATATCGTCTTCCAGTCTCAGTACTTGAACTTGCGCACTTGGCTTCCTGATGATCCAAACCTGTACGGTCTGGGCGAACATAGTGATTCGCTGCGTCTGCCTACCACGAACTATACTCGCACTATCTGGAACCGTGATGCTTATGGAATTCCTTCCAACTCGAACCTTTACGGTACCCACCCGATTTATGTTGATCACCGTGGAGAGAAGGGCACTCATGGAGTTTTCTTTTTGAACTCCAACGGCATGGACATCAAAATTGACAAGACTGCCGATGGCAAACAGTACCTCGAGTATAACACCCTCGGCGGAGTCTTAGACTTTTACTTCATAGCCGGTCCAACCCCCAAGGAAGTGAGCGAACAGTATTCTGAGGTCGTTGGTCTTCCTGTCATGCAAAGCTACTGGAATTTCGGAGTATGTTCTTCCCGCGACTTTCTGAAAGCATAGTCTAATTGCCATTCTAGTACCACAACTGCCGATATGGCTACCAGGATGTCTTCGATGTCGCCGAGGTTGTTTACAACTACAGCCGCGCTGGAATCCCACTCGAAACTATGTGGACCGACATTGACTACATGAGTGGTCGACGGGTATTTACCCTCGACGATGAGCGCTTCCCTGTTGACAAAATGCGCGAATTGGTTTCATATCTCCATAAGCATGACCAACACTACATTGTCATGGTCGATCCGGCCGTCAGTAACTCTGGTAAGCCTTATAACTGCTTGTTCCCCCCTTGATTCAGTTCTAACGGTGAGGGTGTCACTAGATAACGGTGCTTTCAATCGAGGCCATGACCAGGGCATCTTCCTGTACCGTGACGATGAGCAGAATGAACTCTATGAGGGTAAGTTGTTCAAATGAAGCACCTTGTCGCCATTTTCTAATGTAATGTCCACAGGCGCTGTCTGGCCCGGCCTGACCGTCTATCCAGACTGGTTCAACCACGACACGCAGAATTACTGGAACTCAGAATTCAAGCGGTTCTTCAACGCAAAAGATGGCGTTGACATTGATGGTTTATGGATCGACATGAACGAAGCTTCCAACTTCTGCCCATACCCTTGCAAGAACCCAGCAGAGTACGCCAAGCAGAACAATCTACCTCCAACGCCTCCACCAGTCCGATCAAATCCACGCCATATCCCCGGTTTCCCGGCTGATTTCCAGCCCGGATATTCTTCATCTGGAGCTTCTTCGTCGCAGCATACGAAGAGAGATGACACTGCCATCGAGGCACGTAGTGTCAGCGAGAAACGGGGCCGCAGTCAAAAGGGAAAGAAGGTTGGCTTGTCTGGCCGAGACCTTATCAACCCGCCTTATCAGATTGCAAACGAGGCTGGCTCGATTAGCAATAAGTCTATTGATACCGACATCATCCACGCTGGTGAGGGTTACGCCGAGTATGACACACACAATCTCTACGGAACTAGTATGTACCCTATTATTTAGTAACGGAATCTTTCTAACTCGAAATCCAGTGATGAGCTCGGCTTCCCGCGAGGCTATGTTGAAGCGCCGACCCCACGTACGACCCTTGATCATCACACGTAGCACCTTCGCCGGAGCAGGATCCCAGGTCGGGCATTGGTAAGATCACACAGAACTCCCAAACCAGCCTACTAGGTACACCTGTATTAACTTGTTCTCCCCCCAACAGGCTGGGCGACAATTTCAGCCAATGGGATAAATATCGCGTATCAATTGCGCAGATGCTAGCATTCGCCTCGATTTTCCAGATCCCAATGGTCGGCAGCGATGTCTGTGGCTTTGGCGGAAACACAACGGAAGAGCTGTGCGCGCGCTGGGCAATGCTCGGCGGCTTCTATCCGTTCTATCGAAATCATAACGAGTTCGGCACTGTCCCGCAGGAATTCTACCGCTGGCCTACAGTGACAAAAGCTGCGAAGAAGATCATCGATATCCGATACCGTCTTCTCGATTACCTCTATACTTCTTTCCATCGCCAGACCTTGACGGGAACTCCGTTCCTCCAGCCGCTTTTCTACGTCTATCCTGAGGACAGTGAGACCTTTGGTAATGACCTGCAGTTCTTCTACGGTGATTCCATTCTCGTCTCGCCGGTCTCGGAAGAAGGGGCTACCTCTGTCGACGCCTATTTCCCCGATGATCTCTTCTATGATTGGTTTACTGGTGCTGCTGTGCAGGGTGATGGATCTGTGAAGACCATCAGTGATCTCTCCATTACGGATATTCCGATTCATGTCCGTGGTGGAAGTATCATCCCTCTCCGTGCGGAAAGTGCCAAGACTACGAAGGATCTGCGCAAGCGCGGCTTTGAGATTCTCATTGCGCCTGATGCTGACGGGTCCGCGGAGGGTGAGCTGTACCTTGATGATGGCGAATCGATTCGACCGGACAGTTCGGCCGAGATTGAATTCAAGTATCGGGATGGCAAACTTCAGATCCTGGGTCGGTTTGGATACCGTCCCAATGTGATTGTTGAAGCTGTTACGCTGCTTGGACAGAAGAAGTCGCGTCGGGATGTTCAGAGACAGAGTGTGACAAAGAAGGTGCAGATTGAGTTGAATGGGCCTACTGAGGTAACTCTGTGAGTGCACCTGGGTACTGGGTTAGCTAAGGCGAATTTTCCGGAACACATTCTTTACCGAATCCGATCTGCCACTTTTATTTTTCCATGAGCGACCAGGGAATCATAATATTTATCCATGGTGTACTCCGTCCTCGGTTGACCAATTTTATTCAACGTATGACTAAGAAGTAAAAATAATGATTGGATGAACCGAATAACGTTCCTGCATCTCAGCCTCACAGGGTATGTGAAGGAGTACTACATTTACGGACACATGGACACATGGATGATTATTCAACGTCTCAAAACCCGCAAACAATCCACCCCCTTGCATGGACTTGCATCAGAGGGATGTTGCTAGGGAACACTGAGAACACTGGGTACACCCTTTCGGGACGATGCCCTCGAGAGATGAAAATTCAACTTTCGAAGAATCACTCTACTCCGGGGCGGAGTACCCTTACTCAGACGACACGGTACTAGCGGACTATTCTAAGTAAAAAAGTCTCACTCAGCCAGTCGGTGGTATCGGCACTAATTCAGGCACAGGCCGCTAGTTCCTGAGTCATCTGATGGGACAGTACGAAAAGGTTATTATTAGTTTGAGGGGCAATTTTAAGCGATGTTAACAGTCAAGTACAACGGAACATTGGAGATTGTACGAAAGATCTATTCAGGACAATGCGCTCATGTAGACTACAGAATACGGAGTACCTAGCTAGGAGTTTGGTCCCTTGTTTCACGATTGCATGGGTGTTGGGGTGATAGACATTAATCCAAGGGGATTTGAGGGAGATGGACCTCGGGAAGCCATATGATACTGCAGTATGTTGTATGTAATGAAATGTCATGGTTGGAATTGTAATATAAAAACGAGGGGGAAAAAAAAGAAAAAGCCTCATTAGGCAAGAATCTTGGTGGTCGCGAAGTCTCTATGGAGTACGGGAAAGTATGGGTTTATCTATTTCTGTATTACTTACGGAGTACTCCGTACTTTGGAAACAGGTACTAGTACTATCGACGTATTGTACGTATTGATGTTGAATTTTCTTTTATGGACCCCTTTGCTGTACGTTGTATACACCGGGTTCATCTCTGTATTCGGAGTCAATAATGATCGGCTGATCAGAGGGCCGCAACCATTCAATATAGGTCCTTGAACCCTTTCCAAGGGATCTCGTTTGCATAGGAATGAAAATATATTCGCTCCGTATATTGTACACATTGTACATATTGGATGCATATGTACTGGTTATCTCCAGCCTCATCCTTGTCTCACCCGCAACCCACGGCCCACCAGCTATAAGCTCCACTTGCCAATGGATCAGAGGGATCCACTCTAACTGGATAGAGGACAAGTCTTACCTTTTGTCTCAGCGTTTCCGGCCTCGTTGTCCGAGATCCAATCAATGCAATGGATATTCAGGTCACTCCCGCCTCCCTTTTTGGACTCCGTGGCAATATATGATATTTTTGTGGAGAATCGGAGTAGATAAAGTGGTGCGCCTTCCTTCTGATGTCTTTCCACTTTCCGTGTCACTCATATATTTAATAAGGTTCCTTCGTCCTCTCGTTTATTTCTCTTCACTCTCTTCTCGCGACGTGTACTCTGTACCATATCCCATATCCCATATCCCAGCATGCCGTCTTTCATGAAGTTTGCTGCTGCGGCTCTTGCCGTGGCCGCCCCTCTCGTTTCAGCTCAGACTTACTCTGACTGCAATCCGATGGAGAAATCCTGCCCTGCCAACAAGGGTATGACCGAGTCCAGCCTGCACTTTGACTTCACCAAGGGTGATTCCCTCGGCCAGTGGAAGATCAGTGGCGGCAAAGTTCCCACCGGCTCCAATGGTGCAGAGTTCACTATCAACAAGGAAGGAGATGCTCCTACTCTTGTCAGCGACTTCTACTTCTTCTACGGTGAATTGTCCATTGAGATGAAGACTTCTCCTGGCCAAGGCATTGTCAGCTCCGCCTTTTTGCAGTCCGATGATAAGGACGAGGTTGATTGGGTATGAGATGCCTCAAAGCTCAAGACTAGATAGAATGAGTGCTAACTCGAATATAGGAAGCGCTGGGCACCAAGACTGACACTATTGAGACCAACTACTTTGGAAAGGGCGACACCTCGACCTGGGATCGTGAGACTTGGGTCCCTGTTGCTGCCCCCCCATGAGACTTTCCACACTTACACCATTCAATGGAGCAAGGACACCATCAGCTGGTTGATTGATGGTGCCAATGTCCGCACTCTAAACTACAACGATGCCCAGGGTGGTGCTCGCTTCCCCCAAACCCCCATGAACATTCACCTTGGTATCTGGGCCGGTGGTGCTCCCACCAACCCCGAGGGTACCATTGAGTGGGCTGGTGGTCCCACCGACTACTCCAAGGGCCCTTACTCCATGTACATCAAGAGCGTCAGTGTTAAGAACGCCAACCCCGCCGAGTCTTACACCTGGACCGACAAGTCTGGCTCCGCCAACAGCATCAAGTTCACTGGTTCCAACGCTGTGAGCTCCCGCAGCACCACCACCGACGCTGCCACCAGCTCCTCTGAGGCTTCGTCTTCCACCACCGAGTCTCCTTCTACCACGACCGAGAAGAGCACTTCTAGCACTGCCACTACTCTGGCGACCAAGACCTCCGGCTCATCTGCCGAGTCCACTGCCGCTTCCACCTCCGGTGCTGCCAGTGCTTCCAGCTCTGGTGCCTCCCCCAGCGGCTCTAGCAGCTCTGGCTCCGGTTCCAGCTCCAGCTCTGGTGCTGCTAGCTCTAGCTCTGGCTCCGGTTCCAGCTCCGGCTCCGGCTCCGGCTCCCCCTCGGGCTCTGGATCCTCCACCAGTGCCAGCGCGAGCGCTAGCCCTAGCTTCAACGCAGCAGCCTCTGTTGTTGCCAGCTACATGGGACCTGTGTCCCTCTTGGGTCTGGTGACTGCCCTACTCCAGCTGTAAATGTCCCTTTTGAGCGCTATGATTTTCTGATGCATCATTAATGGAAACGCGCCTCGAAAGAGGATACTGGGCTGGACCGGGTATGGTAATGGTTGATGCGATATTTCTTTTCTTTTCTTTTTTTTCGGACTGTACCAATTCCCCCCCTTTTTGTACTTGGACGCTCAAATGCCTGCAATCTATTCTTTAGGTTGCTCGGATATGCTGATTGGCATACTCCGGTAACATGGCGATTTTCTTTGGGCAGACTTCATGTATCTATCGGCGTACATACCTTTGCCATTGAGCAAATATGCAATAATATCAAGTCAATTGACTCCACGGAGCACATATTTCAAATCATCTTCATTGTCTCGACTGTAGCTCACAGCCCGGACCTCTTCACCGCTTGTTAACTGCTGTAGCTTTCGCTTTCGATTACCATTGTGCTCGTATACACCAAAAGCCTATCCTACATGCGCCTTAACATCCACATGGCATTCATACCCAATGTATCATATGCATACTGGACTTTCAAGATTTGGCATATGCACACCCACTTATTTCGTCACCGGCCACAAATAGCTCCACGGGTATTCATCTACATCTAGCACACCAGGAACTGAAATCGCTATGAACCGTGGATTAAATGTTGATGGTACTGGGTCTGGGTTGAGATTGGCTGATGAAATGTAATCGATAGGTGTTTGCAGTAACATTGGTTGATCGGGTGAGAAGTGTATAGCCGAACCATGGATGCCTCATGGAGCCAGGGATATTTACATGCCCCATACGGAATACGGAGTACAGGTGCTTCATATGTACTCCGTACACACATTATATGACGGTATTGTACAGAGTACCCCGTATGTGTATATAAAATGCGGGTTTAATAAAAGATGGTAAATGGTAAAAAACTGTCGTGGCTCGTTATTGCATCTAACTCATCTCATCTTGTCGGATAGAAACACCCAATGTCGAAAAAGGTCAAAACAATAGTAAGAAAACAAAAACAAAACGTAACCAAACCTCATCTCCCCAAACCAGACTGTAACTACGGTAACTACGATACTTGTTCAAGTCTCGGACCCTGGAAACTGATCGTCCCTTTGCCCCCAGCCCCCTGTGGAGACCTTAAGTTCACCAAGTGGGCCCCCCACTCGCACGTTGCACATCCCTCAATTGGCGTGATAACCGCAATACCGAGTCAGCAACGGGACGATGGTGCGTGGCCGCGACTCGAAGCAGGGCAAGAGTGGCTGCGGGCCGGGGCATGGGTGTGGGTTCAGTGGATGCAGTGGAGGCCACGGCAGACGATGACGACTCCGTCAACGCAACCGGATTAGAATCTGCATCTCCTGTCGATCGCGCCCGGAACAAATATGCCCCGAACGATCCTAGCGGGAGCGAGTCGAGCACGGAATAGAGCCGATCGCTGCTGCTATCGTCGGATGAAGATCCGTACTTGTGGAATGTTGGGGCCCGCCGTTCTTCGCGTGCTACGATTCCGTCCACCGCTTCGAGGTGATCGTCTAATGTTGTGAATCGCGTGTTGAGGGAGTCTGCTTTGCTGAGGATTTGCGAGCGCAGTCGGTCTAGATACTCTTCGCGCCGTCGCAATTGGATCGCGAGTCGGGTGTCGAGAGCTGCGGTGCCGGTTATTTCGGTTGCTGGTCGGGAGGCGAGTAGGCTCTCGATCGCCGAGCGCAGGTCTGCGCGAAGCGAGTCGAATTCCCATACTGCGGTTTGTACGGCTTGGTTGCTGCCGGTGAATTCGAGATCCAGCGCGTTGCGAGCGTCTGGGAAGGTTGACTTGAGTTGAGATTCTAGGTCGGCGAACATGCTTTCGCTCTGCTTGAGGATTGCGGATAGAGGCGTGAGGGTTTCAAGGGCGGTGTCGAATATGGATTCCAGTTGGCGCTGGGAGTTTGCGAGAGTTTCTTCTGGGGGTATCACCGATGGATGGAATGCGCTGCGTGGTGGGTATGTTGTGGGGAGGGCGATACAGCTATTGGGGTAGAAGGTCTTGATGCTTGAGATATGGCAGAGGTCTTTGGCTTGGTAGACTACCTCGGGGAGTACCAGCAGGTGCAGGATGATGGCGATCAGGGCTGTGTTGATTGCTTTGCGGACGAGGGCAGTATACCCACCAAAGATAGTCTGGGATTTCACAACTACGTCTGCTTTTTGGGTCGTCTCTGCAGACGAACCAGCGTCTGCATCTCCGGCTTTAGCGCCAACTCGGTCCTGCTCTCGTTGCTTTGCACCGCTCGGTATGGAAATTTTGCGTCGTTTCCTCATGCTTTCCGAGCCTGGCTGCTTTGGACTCCGTACATATTCCACCCATGACCCCTCTAGACTAGGCGTTTCGCATATAGAAGGCATGATGAGGTCCGGGCCTGGTATGGTCCATGATGAGGACGATGAGGACGCTAGTGACTCTGATGACGGGTCCGCCGTCTTTGTGGTTGATTTGCTGCGTTCATGCCAGTTATCTGGAGTTTTGGCGGGGTCTTCTTTTTCTTTCAGAGAAGCAGTTGATGCTATGACCCAGGATTCGCCAAGAGCTGGCCGATCTGGGACACGAGGCTGTTCTGTAGACATGGCGTTTACATCTCAGCAAGCCATGGTGCACTATGTGTAATAATTTGGCATGTTCTGTAGTGAATTTCTCGAAGTTTTTTAAATGTTATGAATGCGACTGGCTCCAGCAGACCGTTGCACGCGTAAAGCGGTGGGGAAGAAAGATCGGAGAAACCGCGGCGGCCGAGGAAGTGAGAATCTTCAACCATGCGCTCATTGCTTCGTCTCAGACCGTCCGTAACGCCTGGCGTTAGATCTCTGCCATGGCAATTTGCACGATCGCGATCGCTGTCATACACAGCGATTCGCCATTGCTCGTGTTCTAACAAACCCGAAGCTCCAACAATACCTGCCACTGACCATCGCGCTCTCGGAACCTCCCAAGAGCTCTTCACATCTTCAGTCTACAGTCCCGGATCTCCTCTGTTCCTCCCAAATGGTACACATGTTGTCAATAAACTCATCTCCTTCCTCCGCACTCAGTACCTACAATATGGCTTCCGCGAAGTCTTAACCCCGACCATCTACAAAAAGTCACTCTGGGAGATATCGGGCCACTGGCAGAACTACAAGGATGATATGTATGAGGTGACCGGTCGAGGAGCTAGTGGCAAGGCAGAAGGCGAGGTAGGAGAGGATGAGTCCTACGGACTGAAGCCAATGAATTGTCCGGGCCACTGTCTCCTCTTCAAGTCGCAGAATCACTCCTACCGCGACATGCCGGTGCGCTATGCAGACTTCAGCCCGCTGCACCGCAACGAAGTGTCAGGATCATTGACTGGTTTGACGCGCGTGCGCCGCTTCCACCAGGACGATGGTCATATATTCAGTCGCCCGCAGCAGATCAAGTCGGAGATCACATCCGCGTTAGGATTCGTTGACATGGCTATGAAGACCTTCGGACTCGGCCCCTACCGATTAGTCCTTTCAACTCGACCTGAGAACGATTACATTGGGACTTTGGAGATGTGGGATAATGCCGAGATGCAATTACGCGAGGCCCTGGATAGTACCGGACGCGAGTGGGCGCTGAATGAGGGCGATGGTGCGTTCTACGGCCCTAAGATCGACATCCAACTCCAGGATCAAGCTGGAAAGTACCACCAGCTGTCTACTATTCAATTAGACATGAACTTGCCACAACGATTTGAGCTGGAGTATCAAGTTGCAGAGGGTGAGCCAGACTACAATCCAGCCACACCCGGAGTTGCAACTCCCGTTCTGATTCACCGCGCCATCTTCGGCTCACTGGAGCGATTTTTGGCGTTGCTGATTGAAGAGCACGGTGGTCACTGGCCATTCTGGCTTTCTCCGCGCCAGGCCATTGTCCTGACAGTTAACCAAGACGATGCTGTTGTGCGCCAGGCTCAGGAAGCGGCAGCCAAGTTCGCTGGTTTCCGCGCATTGGTGAATGATGATACCGCCGAGTCGCCCCGTCCACTGTCTTCTGTCGACTCTACATTCTTAGTCGACATTGATACCAGCGCACAGACCCTGGGAAAGAAGATTCAACGTGCTAAACAGATGAAGTATAACCTCATCTTCATTCTCGGATCACGGGACCTGGCCGATGGTGGCATCACTGTTGATGTCACCGGGCAAATGCAGAGCAAGACAGATAAAGACGCTCAGAAATTGCAGGCGCTGATCAAAGCTAGACTAGGTGATGATGCGCTACAGAATCCCCGAGCTGTCAAACTGAACGTGGATGAGGTTCATCCGCTATTGGTCGAGTTCGAGAAGAACTTTGTGTGACTTTGTATGACATTTTCTATTGTATCACCATGTATGTTGCTTTTTTGAGCGTGCTTGACTACAAATTTCTTCATTTCGCCACTATTATTGTATATTAGACCGATCTTTTGCCGGGATTCATGTTCTATTGCACACCGATGAATCGAGACCAACAAATGCCTGCGGCTATCCGCGGCGTAAAGTGCCTTAGGCATCAATATCTCCGATGTTCGGGGTCCCCTATGGAGACGAGGATAGTAGAGATTTGTCGCAAATGGCTGCAAATTGAAAGTAAAAGGAACATAAATGATCTAAATTACTAGGTGCAAATCTACCAGCAGCGTCTTAGCCTCATCATCAAGTCGATTTTCGGTCAAACGCCACCAAACTCGGCAAAGTGATGTGTCACGTGACTCCGCTGTCGGCGCCGAAAACTCGGCGTCATTGACGGGCCCATTTGAGTCACGGCATACGTTGTATTTCCCATTCTTCATTGGTCTCCTTCTCTCTTCTATAAAGGAATCACTCTGTCCATATTTTGGACGCCAGTTCCTGCTTTTAATCAAATTAATCTCGAGTCTGTCTGGGTTAACTGGCTTAACTATAACGTCCATCTCCCTTTTATCGTCTGTTATCTACTTGCTCCCCGCGGTACCCCGCCAACATGCCGATGTATGTTGAAATGACTCTGAATTTCCTCTGATTTGGTGACCTTACATACTAATCTCTTGAAGGCTCAAGGATCCCTCAAAAAAGTACAAGGCGTATAAGCCTCTGAACGTGCCAAATCGCCAATGGCCCAACAAGGTTATTGATAAGCCCCCTCGCTGGCTGGCAACCGATCTCCGTGATGGCAACCAGTCTCTGCCCGATCCAATGGTATGATATGATTTTTACCCTTCGCTACTGTTTCTCAAGTTGATTGAACTTTTTAGGATGGCGAGCAAAAATACCGTTTCTTCAAGATGCTCGTGGAGATTGGCTACAAGGAAATCGAAGTTTCATTCCCGTCTGCATCCCAAATTGATTTCGACTTTACCCGCCGTCTGGTCGAAGAGCCCGGTCTCACCCCGGATGATGTCGCCCTGCAGGTCCTCGCCCCCTGCCGTGAGGATCTCATCCGACGCACAGTCGATTCCCTGAAGGGCGCCAAGAAGGCTATCCTCCACATCTACCTCGCAACGAGCCCCTGTTTCCGTCGGATCATCTTCAACATGGACCGAAAACAGAGTCTGGAGCTGGCTGTCAAGTGCACAAAGTACGCCCGCTCGATCACCAAGGACGACCCCTCTCAGGCTGGCACAGATTGGCAATTTGAGTTCTCTCCCGAGACCTTCTCGGATACCGAGCCCGAATTTGCTGTGGAGGTCTGCCAGGCTGTTAAGGCTGCCTGGGAGCCGACAGAGGATAAGCCCATCATCTTTAACCTGCCCGCCACGGTAGAGATGGCCACCCCCAATGTCTTTGCTGATCAGATTGAGTACTTCTGCACACACATGACTGAGCGCGAGAAGTTCATTGTTTCAGTCCACCCGCACAACGATCGTGGCTGCGCTGTTGCCGCAGCTGAGCTTGCACAGATGGCTGGTGCCCAGCGTGTCGAGGGTACTCTTTTCGGCAACGGTGAGCGTACCGGAAATGTGGACCTGGTCACCCTCGCCCTGAACCTGTACACACAAGGTGTCTCCCCAGGCGTCGACTTCTCCGACATCAACTCTGTCATTAAGGTGGTAGAAGAGAGTAACAAGATCCCCGTCCATGAGCGTGCTCCCTATGGTGGTCAGCTCGTGGTGTGCGCATTCTCCGGAAGGTTTGTTCCTTTGTTCTTTCCAAGTGTACCATGTTTCGCTTTTGCTAATCTCTTTTGAATTTCAGCCACCAAGATGCAATCAAGAAGGGCTTCAAGCTGCGCCAAGATGGCGGTGGTGCCGACGAGGAAACCGAATGGCAAGTTCCGTACCTGCCGCTTGACCCTCAAGATATCGGCCGCACCTACGAGGCAGTCATTCGCGTCAACTCTCAGAGTGGCAAGGGTGGTGCCGCCTGGATTATCCTGCGCAGCCTGGAGCTGGATCTCCCCCGCGCGCTGCAGGTCGAGTTCAGCAAGATCGTGCAGGAGAAGACCGAGGCTGTCAACCGGGAGCTGAAGCCTACCGAGATCGTTGGGCTCTTCGAGGAGGCGTACCACCTCAAGTCAAACCCCCGCTTCAACCTTGTCGATTACAGCATCACCACCGATCGCTCGCAGTCCCCTGCTCCCCCGAGCCCGGCAAGGCCCTCAATACCAAGAACCTCAAGCGCCGCTTCACTGGTATTATCGAGATCGACAACGTTCAGCATGCCATCACCGGTGTCGGCCCAGGTGCTATCTCATCCCTGGCCACCGCGCTTTCCACCCTTGGTATTGATCTCGACGTCCGTGACTACAAGGAGCACTCCATTGGTCGTGGTCGTGACACTAAGGCTGCCACATACATTCAGTGCACAGCAGCCGGCAGCAACCAACAGGTGTGGGGTGTTGGTATCCACCAGGATGTGGTCCAGGCTTCCCTGATTGCGCTGCTCAGCGCTGCCAGTTCGGTAAGATTCGGTTATTAATTCATCTACATTCCAACACTAACATGCTTTCTAGTTCCTCACCTCCCGCGCTGGCTCTCCTGCTCCTTTCCGTCCCATCCGCTCCAACACCCTCACCAACGAGGACATCCAGGCCCTCTCGCAGCTGTCCAGTTCCCCTGAGGCTGCCACATCTAACGGCGGTCTGAGCACCAAGGTCAACATCGAGGAGCTGACGAGAAAGGCCCAAGACATGTAAATAACTATTTTCAAAAACATAAAAGTCTAAAAGTGATAGCAATAATGTGAATACCATGATCAATTTCAACTGCTTTTTGCTGAGTATAATCATCAAGTTGAACATCATAATAGACACCGAGCCTCACCAGCCAAAAAGCCCATCTAACCCCCATCCTCTCTTCGAACTCGTTCCGTAAGCGTTGAATTTCTGTGGCCCCTCTGCCGAAATGATATACCCATTCTCACAAGAGGAGAAAGAAACTTTGGGTTGATTGACATAGAAGGTATCGAAGCGGGAGTCCAGTGCATCGGCAAGACTGTTCACTTTGCTGGCTGGGTGCAGCTGCTGCCAGGGGTACCGACATGCATCCCCTTCGCAAGACTTGAGTACGAGCATCAGTGCGTCTAACCGGGTTATTATTTGTGGTAACTCTCGATTTGCGATCTTGTAGGGGTGTTTGGCAGGGTGCGTGCCTAGATTCACGGTTTGA